CAGCATCTATCCATAGCCATAACGCTCCGAACAATTAGCCACTTTTCTTGAGGCTTTCTAGAGCAGATATTGCCTAGGTGTACCCACGCTGCATACACAGACATCTTTCAACCCTCGCAACTTTTTTCCTCTTTCACCTCTAATAACCATCTTCGGGTTGTTGACAGAACTTGCCAAGACCTTTTCAATGACACCAAGAATTTGAAAATCGCCTGAAAACTAAGAGAGATGCGGACCTTTCCATTTGGCGTCAATTTGCCACCCCTTCTGAGCAGTTTCTGGTCATTTCAGAGAGAAGGATTGAGGTAAGGATTTCAAGACCTACTTGACCTTTCATGAAAAGAGGAGTTTCCTTTCGTCCCAAATTTTCGACTTCCGCTGACGTCGTCTTTTGGTCCAACTGGAATTACAGAACATTTTCTTCAAATACCCATAGGTTGCATGCCCTTGGAGCACTGAGGCTGAGCCTTGGTATGTGGATTCCTTGAAGTCTTCTTAATCTTTTATGTACTGAGTTTAGGGCCTTTATCTCGCACCCTTTCCGCGCTATCAGTCGGAAAAGAACTTAGCGCGGAACGCAAGTTTTACCTCGTCTCCGAGCTTAACCGGTTTCCTAAGCACTTGAAAAGTACTCACTGAGACCTCCTCGGCAACGTTCAGGTTGTCTGGAGCTGACCACAAAAAAACCGTCTAACCCCTGTCTCACATTTTCTAAGACTTTTGTACATTTTCCGCATGTTCAGTCAATAATATCTTTAGAGGGAGAAAGTATTTCTGCTAATTCTTTGCAGCTTCTAGGAGTCCCTATCGGGGTGTATCCCTGACATGAGAGCGGTGTGTCGATTGCATGCCGTTCTCCAGATATTGGAGGTTGAAAATGGTAAAAAATTCTCAATTTCTCAATTTCTAAGCTCAATCCTTGGTGTAAATTAAAAGCCAACTTTTCTCTCTTTTCCTGATACCTGGGTTTTATGCCTCTGACTTAGTCATGTTGTCCGTCTTCTTAGCTTTCCAACGACACCAATATCGTCTTAATCGGATGATAAATAAGAAAGTTATGAGCTTCGGAAAATTCCACTATTTCCTTTCCTATTACTTCTATCCCTGACTTTCACTTTCACTTTCATTTGACCTACATAGTTCATGACCTAGATAGTTCATCTTCGTTTTGTCCCTATACCCTAACCCTAACCCTAACCCTAACCCTAACCCAAACCCTAACCCTAACCCTAACCCTAACCCTAACCCAACCCTAACCCTAACCCTAACCCTAACCCTGATTATCCTGGGTTAAACCCGGGTATATCTTGGGTTAAACCCAGGTATAACCCGGGTTAAACCCGGGTATAACCCGGGTTAAACCCGGGTATAACCCGGGTTAAACCCGGGTATACCCTGGGTTAAACCCGGGTATACCCTGGGTTATACCCGGGTATACCTAGGGTATACCCGAGTACACTGGTGTGCATACTCAGCATCATTTGAAGTTTACTTAAATGACCTTAATTTCAATCAATATGTTCTTATTGTGTAATTAAAAGGAATATATCCTAATTAACCATTGAAAATACACTTTAAATTACCAGGTACTATTGAAGAACACAAAAAAATATACATAAACTTTGTCCTCTTAAACACAAAAAATTCATTATACTTCCGTAAATTTTTAATGCAAAAATAAGGCAAGATTATGCATTACTTCCTTAAAAAAGATGCCGTTGCTTACTCAAACAATACATGATAATTAGCAATTAAAAAAATCAAATGAAATATTACCTTACATCAAAAAAATCACCCATTAAAAACACAACAGTATATAAACGTCCAAATCGAAAGAAATTCTGCAAGAAAACACCTACTTTCACAATGAAATGATTGACAATCACGTGATAAAATAGGCGGAGTCCCGCAATCCCGCACCCGCACCACGTCAAAGTGCCCTAACCCTAACCCTAACCCTAACCCTAACCACGTCAAAGTGCCCTTACCCTAACCCTGACAATCACGTGATAAAATAGGCGGAGTCCCGCAATCCCGCACCCGCACCACGTCAAAGTGCCCTTACCCTAACCCTGACTCTGACCCTAACCCTAACCCTAACCCTAACCCTGACCCTAACCCTAACCCTAACCCTAACCCTATCCTGGGTTATACCCGGGTATATCCTGGGTTATACCCGGGTATATCCTGGGTTTAACCCTTGATTATCCTGGGTTAAACCCGGGTATATCTTGGGTTAAACCCAGGTATAACCCGGGTTAAACCCGGGTATAACCCGGGTTAAACCCGGGTATAACCCGGGTTAAACCCGGGTATACCCTGGGTTAAACCCGGGTATACCCTGGGTTATACCCGGGTATACCTAGGGTATACCCGAGTACACTGGTGTGCATACTCAGCATCATTTGAAGTTTACTTAAATGACCTTAATTTCAATCAATATGTTCTTATTGTGTAATTAAAAGGAATATATCCTAATTAACCATTGAAAATACACTTTAAATTACCAGGTACTATTGAAGAACACAAAAAAATATACATAAACTTTGTCCTCTTAAACACAAAAAATTCATTATACTTCCGTAAATTTTTAATGCAAAAATAAGGCAAGATTATGCATTACTTCCTTAAAAAAGATGCCGTTGCTTACTCAAACAATACATGATAATTAGCAATTAAAAAAATCAAATGAAATATTACCTTACATCAAAAAAATCACCCATTAAAAACACAACAGTATATAAACGTCCAAATCGAAAGAAATTCTGCAAGAAAACACCTACTTTCACAATGAAATGATTGACAATCACGTGATAAAATAGGCGGAGTCCCGCAATCCCGCACCCGCACCACGTCAAAGTGCCCTAACCCTAACCCTAACCCTAACCCCAACACTAACCCAAACCCCAACCCTTACTCTAACCCTAACCCTAACCCAAACCCTAAACGTAACCCTAAATTACGCCCCTGGCCCTAACCCTAACCCTAACCCTAAACCAACCCTAACCCTAACCCTAAATAGTACTTAAAGAATTGGAGACCAAAGTCGTTATTAAGCACAGTCTATAAAATTGGGTCGGGATGTATTGCAAGTAGAAAAAAAATCTGTCTTACCAAAAATAATACAAGGAGACCAAAGAGGATCTATACTAGGTAGAAATATATCAGAAAACACAAAACTGATTTATGATATTATGAATTATACTCAAGTCAACAATATTCCTTGTATGATTCTTTTTATTGATTTTGAAAAAGCTTTTAATATAGTGTCTTGGGATTACTTGTTTAGAGTATTGTATTTCTTTAACTTTGGAGAATCTATTAGAAAATGGGTTCAAGTTTTTTATAAGAATATTACAACAACAATTAATCAAGGTGGTAACTTATCAGTTCAGTAATGGAAGAGGTTGTAATCAGGGAGACCCAACGCAGTACAATTAAGGCAACATTTTCAATAAAAAAAAAAAAAAAAAAAAAAAAAAAAGACAATGAAAACAAGACATTTGAAGTTTAACCGTCTGATTTTCTAGCATAAGACTCTAATGGAAATGTCTTTGTGTCATCTTGAAGAGTTTGTCCTCCACTTTTAATATTGATATTTTTTGTCATCATGTGACCCTTAGTATTCACGTGGGCTCCTATTATAGCTCAAGATATAAAATATCAAATTTAACCGAAAAGTTCAAGGGCATGGCAAAGAAAAAGTACACTTCACAAGATTTCAATGTGTACCTTAATATCTATCCTATCTCAAAAATAATGCTCGTTCAGTTAGATTCCTGGTATTATTTAGTTATTCGGTAAAAACAAAGACCGGTATTAAAAAACTAGGGTACTTTTCACATTTCATGTGAAATAATATATTACCTAGTGAATTACGGAGAAATGAGCATCACTTTTCATATAGCATGCAGTAAAATAAACATTTACTCTTGAACTTTTCAGTTTAAAATCGAAGTCTTGAAACATTCATTCTAAATATAGTTTTCAAACGCATCAGTGACCCGGTAGGTAACTCTTTGGTATTTGTAGAGTTTGTTTACCTCGCGAATTTGAACATGTAACATTTACGGACTATGCTAGGCTTTACTTTACCGAATTAAAACGGTATGCATATAAAGATCTTGACTTTTATTATTTTCCTTTGTATATTTTCGTCCTTTTCATACAGCAGGCAAGACCTTATAGAATACCTTCCGAATTTTCTCGAAGATCTAGACCTATATATCATGTACGTATATATATAACAATCAAGTGCAGCGAACATCATATAAAAAGATTGAAAAAGAATGCCCATTTCTAAGTTTCAACCATTTCCGATAAACATGTAGATCTTCCCTCCCTCGTAAAATGAGAAACTATTTACAACCCCCCCCCCCCCCCACACACACACAGACATAATAAAAAATATATTTACAGCAGAATGAAGTTTCACATATGGGTTTTCCTCAGTGGTTCTCCAAAATCTTCTTTTGTTTAAGAGTTCTAGTTAAGGTTATTGTTTTACACCTGTTAATATAATTAGTTCTATCCTCCTTTCTGCATATCTAACTCCTTATAGTTGCTTCTTTGCTTCCTTGATAAAAGGCCTATGATATATAGTTGGGCGTTGTTAACTTGTAAACATCATGATCTGGTTTTTATTTGTCAGGATATAACCATTGTAACACAAATCTCATTTAGAGTGGGTGCTTTCATTCTTTTCTTTTTTTTTTTTTTTTTTTTTTTTTTTTTTTTTGAGAAAATATCAATCCCTAAGCTTTTATACACAAACAAGTTTATCACAGGAAAAAGACCCCCCCCCCCCCACATAAATAAATAAAAGGAAAGGAAACAACCAATAAAAAGACTATTTTGGTTACAAATGTAATCAGAAAATAGATACTTCTTTGTTCCAATGATCATCGTAAATATATAATTATGCCAATATTTGGCTTTTTTGGTACAATGTACCTAAAATGCCATGTTCATGCAGGTCTGGATTTTCACATCCTTACAGCCTGTCGGCTTCTCTTGGGTCCATGTACAGATCAACTACGTGATGTTTTACTTCATCATGCACCACCGTCAACATTCACACATGTCATTAAACAAAAGAGGTTTAATCTGCCCCGTCCGACAGCACCACAAATGAATCATGTTTTACCTAAAGGCAGTAATTATGCTGGAAACTATAATGACATGGACATTCCATTATTGTACACACTACTCAGAAACATTTGTAGCATACCACCACACAGCAATGCCTGGGGAAATGATCCAGATCCTACAGATCGATTTCTTTCTGCCAACATTGAGAGGATTCGTATTGCTAGAAATCAGTGTGTACATTTTTCAAGTCCTGTCCTTTCCAATGCTGATTTCAACGCAGTCTATTCCTCTGTCAGATCAGCAGTTGTGGACCTTGATTCTTTCCTTAACAACGGGAACAAGTATGAAAAGGAGGTTGACTTTTTGAGACTTGAGACAATGGACCCTGTCCGTGAGTGTCATTACATAGAAGAACTGAGGAAACAAGCTGAAGAAGATGCAGAAACTAGAGAAATAATCCAAGGCTTGAAAAGTAAATTCGTTTATTAAGTTTGACATTTAACTATTAATTGAGTTTATTGCTATTTAAATTTGTTTCAGAAGTTAATGCTTACTTTAAACAAACTTTGATTTTCCTGTTAGGTAAATTAGAAGAGAGTGAAACTTTCAGAATTGAGAATCAAAATAAAATGCTGCAAATTGTTGGTAAGTATATTTATATTTCAAATAAAATATCTTGAATAAGTTATTAAACTGCTTTGAAGCAGACAAAAATAATTATATTTACACAAATGATATATTTTTGTGTTTTTAAGCTGACTAAATCGATGACGTAGCATGGTTTTAGATAACTCAAGATCGTCTAGGGCTTGGGTAAACAGATAAAAAAATATGAAGGTAATCAATCTAAAAATTTCATTGAAACAATACAAATGTAGCAAACACGGATCTCTCAAAATATCAGAGGTTTGATCAGGTGCCATGGAGTAGTAAGCATCCCCTGCCGACCGGTCACACTCGCCGTTTGCTCTTTGTCATGATCGGACAAACAGAAAAATCCGTAGAAAATTCAGTGTGAAAATATTGGCTTTACAATTACTATCGAATCATATCATGTAATATTACTAATATATCGTGTAATGCAGTTTCACAATTTATTTTATTGTGCTTGATATAGTATAATGAATGTACAAATGTTAAAAATGTCCAATGAAAATCGAAAACAACTTCAATGTGAACCAAATGCTGGCCAAAATCTCTGAAAAAAGTATTTTGAATTTTGTTTTTTCATCAAACACACGAGAAGTTCGTCTCTATCAAACTGACTAATACAAGTACGTATTTGTTTCATATTTGTCAAGATTACATCTTGTCAGGGATAATTCAATGTATTTCAAGTATATGTTGGATCCTAGCTTTGCAATAATGGAATTTTACCTCTCAAATTACTATTCTCAATTTTTTTTTCATATTTTTCCAGATGAAATCAGGACACCGAAGTCCGCAATCCCTCAAAATGTCAAAGGTATGTTGGTGAATGCAAAACTACTACCGGCATATCGAATTTTTTTGCAAAAATTCATTTAATGTTGACTTTTTTTCCAAATAAAAAACTTATTGTATAGACATTCTGGTTTAAATGTTTAGAATTAAGGTGTCTTCTACCTATCCCCACTTTTTAAAAACTGCAATTCCACCTATTCTCACTTGCAAATAACAATAGATGTTTAGATACTAGTTAGTTTGTTTTTATAGTAATTAGACTAATTACATAACCTCTTAAGATTTACTAATATTTTGTACATCTAAAGACAGAAAATAAATAGATTTAGGGAAAAATGATTTATTTTGATTAAATATATGGATTTTAGAAAATAAAAAAAAAAGTTAAAAAATCAACACTTTAATATCTTGAATTTTGAACATAAAATAAATTGATTTATGAAAAAGTGCATTTAAATAGCTGAAATAGCAAATGCCATAAATAAATCATCGTAAAATGTGATTTAATTCACTTAGATATCTCCAATTTTAATTTTAAATATTAGTAAAAAGTCTGATTTATAATAATAAAATGCCATTTTACCTGTCCTCTATTCCAACGGGTGTTCAATAATCACTGTTTATACGGTTATTATATGTTTATGCCGTTAAATATTTGTTTACACATAAAATTCCACCTATTCCCACATAAAATCTTACCTTTTCCTACCTGATTTTCAAAAAGTGGGAATAGGTAGAATAAACCGTTTAGAATGGCAACAGGAGAGACATATTTTGTTAAAAGTTTCAGATTTTAAAGAAAACTTTATTTTAAAAGTTTAATTTTTTTTCCCCTGTATATCTAAAAGAATTGAATTTTTTACATTAATATTTTACACACTTTGTCTCACATTTAGTCTGAAAAATTTTAATATGAAAACAATTTTGAAACATTATTTTGTGTGTGTGTCAAATTAATCAATTATGTAAATTGAAGAAAAAAATCGTATAATTGTTAATACAAATAATCGTAGATTTTGAAGTGATTGTAATTAACCTCTTTTTGTTGAACTCGAGATAACTGATAAATTTTTGTCTCACCTTCAGAGCAGGAACAATTAGAGATCACTTAACTAGGCGTCTGTCTGTTCGTCCGTCTAGCTGTCCATCTATTACACCTTATATCTCAAGAACTGTAAAAGATAAGGAATTATAGTATTCTGGTCTTGTATTGTTTTGTGTTATTGCTTTTATAAAATTCCAGAGTCTTTGGCTTCATGAAATTTGAACTTTACCTTTGATTTTTGATCTTTTTTTTTTTTTTTTTTTTTTTTTTTTTTTTGATTACATATACTTCACTGATCTGATATACACTTATAAATAACATGTTCTTTAAAAGTTATATCTGTCTAATTTAGTTTGTGCACTGTTATTATCAAACATAAAAATACCAGTGTTTTGCTCAATTTGACCTTATTCTCTGACCTCCTTAGCAAAAATACTCGGAGCAATTTAACATATTATTATTCATTAAAACGTTGACAGACAGGGTTTTCATTCATAGGAAATATATATCATGTTTCAATACCCCGCACTTTAAACCTGTATGAGGAACGCATGTGCCATAAATGATATGAATAAATCTTATAAAATGTATGGAGATAACGCACAGTATTCAAGCTCGAAAGTCTAATAAAACAATACAAATGTTGGAGCAGAGCAAACACGGACCTCTAAAACATCAGAGGTGAGATCAGGTGCCATTGAGGAGTGAGCATCCCCTGCCGTCCGGTCACACCCGCCGTGTGCTCCTTGTCATGATCGGGAAATAACGGAAAAATCCGTCGACAATTCAGTGTGTAAATAATGGCCGAACAGTAAGTTTGAAAAACGTCAGTCAGCATTTGACTAAATGATTAATAGTATTTGCTGTCTAAGAGGGTTTAGTTTTTTAATATGTTGCATCCTAGCTAGTATTATAATTCATGTGTTTGTCTGCGAAGAAAAAAAAAACATCAATGAGTAGTAAGACTTCGATATAATGGAATGGCTATTATAATACATGTGCCGTCTGTCAAACCTTTACCTCTCAAAATCCCAAGGATGAATTAACGGTTTTAGTATTCTTTAAACTAGGTCAGAGGTCAAGGGCAATAGATTATATGCATTTCCACGCTAAACGCATTAAATACTTCGCATTCCGACTTCCATGTTTGGTTCATGATAAATGATTTTTAATGGAAACTTTAGAATTATAGAAGAATGCATACACTAAATTATGTCATATATATTTTGCATATACATGTAAAACATTTATTGTATCCAGTAATTTTTAAAGGGACGCTTTTCTCTAAACTTTAAGGCCACATCTGTCATATTTATTAATGGGATCGCCATGCAATATGAATTCTAATTTGATTAAAATAGGGTTCCCTTGGGCTCAGGTGGCCGCCATTAGGTTGAGACTCTTTCATATAGGAAGAGAAACTCGTAATTCAGGTGATTAGCAAAACCCTTAAGTCTCTGAAATGTACTTTTCATAGACTTAAAAAGTTGCTTCTGTTAGTTACTAGATAATTAATTGAATTTTTTTCAGAAAGCTAGAAATTTCACAATTCATTTTAGATATTCATGAAAAAAGGTTCATACGATGGAAAGAAGAGGATGAGGTTTACAGTGAAACCCACAGTTTCCTTGTTATGTTGGATAAAGTCAGAAGTCAACCTTATATGACATTTGTTGGTGTCCCAGGATCCGGAAAATCGGCAACGATTCATCACATAGCCCTGAAACTCCAGAAAGAAGGATACGAGATTGTTCCAGTTATTGATATCAGGAAAATCGAAGATTATTGTGACTCTCGTAAGCAACAAGTATTTGTTATTGATGATGTGGTAGGTGTTTATGGTCTTCAAAAACAAAAATTAGAGTTATTGATAGATCATGAAAAAAGAATTTCAGATCCCTCCAGTAAAAATACAAAGATATTAATGTCATGTCGGGAGGCAGTGTTTAATGAATGTTACAAATCATTTTTCTTAAATGAGAAAAACATAATTAAAATGCAAAGACAAAATGCGATTCTTCAGAAATACGGCTTGGATAGAGGTTTGTTGTCTCCTGCATTACTGAGAATTACATCGGATATGTTTCCTTTGTCATGTAAAATGTACTCAAAAGGTGGGGTGGAAATTAGAAACAATGTTGAAAGGTTTTTTACCTGCTGAATGAATTCTAGAAGAATTTGACAAAATGCAGCTATGCTACATTGGTCTTGTGCATGTAAATGAAAATAAACTATCCAAAACAATATTAAAAAACACAGAAAACGAAGTTTTATGTGAAATGAAATCAAGAGTACTAGAAAGTTGTGAAGCCGAGAGTTACATGGATGCATTTAAATTTGTTAAAGCACTGTCAGTAATGGAGGGGACTTACACAAAACTCCGTGGCTCTGAGTATACATTTATTCATAACTCTGTGTTTGAAATCCTTGCATATCATTATGGATGTCAGTTTCCAGAACTGTTTTGCAATATATCAGCAGTAGTTACATTGCTAACGTAAAAGTAAAAGAATGTAAAAAAGAGTCGGAGGTTGAATGCAAACTCGGTGAGAATGAAGAATTTAGTGCTGGGGAGCATCAAGCAGTAACAAGTGAAAGAAGCCAGGATTCATTTGATCTCTGTATAAGGTTAAGTGAGGATCAGTACCCGATGTTTGCAGAGCGTTTGTACGGGGATATAGAAAATATGGAGCTGTATGATGTTTTTATGAATAATGCTTTAAAACATCCTAAGGTATGTCAGGCTTTTATTGAGGTGTTAATTTCAAAACCTTACACAGAGCTGAAGTCTTTATTTCTGTCAGAACAGAAAGACGTGTCTAAGGTAGTGAGTAAAGGAGAACGTGTGAGAGAGGAGAGGGATAAGATGAGCCGGAAGAGGTTCAGACAGGGATTGCTGTGCAGAAAGAGGCTAGTGAGGAATAGGAGAGGTTTTTTAGTAACAAAATATTGTGTTAGGGTTATCAGTTGGGTGGTTTACTACGGACACAATCAGATCCTACAATATATTGTAAAACAAACTGAATTACACAAAGAAACAGAGATTGAACTATTTTGGAATTTTTTTAGCTCCAAATTAAGTTTTGAAACAAATGAAATAGAAAATAACATTGAAAAAAATAATGCAAAAGACAAATTATGTTTATCAAACTCCATGAGTGATACAAGAAATCAAAATCAGGACAATAGTTGTTCTGTTTTCGAACAAGACTGTTTACTTGTATTGAGTTGTCACAGTGGAGATTTAGAGACTGTAAGAATATTCATAAAGTACGTCAATATAAACAAGGAACTGCAATATGATGCTTTCTTATTTGAACCAACTACACTAGCATGTTTAGGTAGATTTCTGAGAAAAGTGAAGGACTTATCTAACGCGGGAGTTGATATTAATAATGCAAAAGACAAATTATGTTTATCAAACTCCATGAGTGATACAAGAAATCAAAATCAGGACAATAGTTGTTCTGTTTTCGAACAAGACTGTTTACTTGTATTGAGTTGTCACAGTGGAGATTTAGAGACTGTAAGAATATTCATAAAGTACGTCAATATAAACAAGGAACTGCAATATGATGCTTTCTTATTTGAACCAACTACACTAGCATGTTTAGGTAGATTTCTGAGAAAAGTGAAGGACTTATCTAACGCGGGAGTTGATATTTATCTACGTGATGAGTATGATACACTACTGACAGCAGCATGTAGGGGTGGACATCTGAGTATAGTGAAGGAGTTACTTAACGTTGGAGCTGATGTCAATCTTCAAGGTAAATATGATACACCACTGACAGCAGCATGTGAGGGTGGACATATGAGTGTAGTGAAGGAGATCCTTGAAGCGGGAGCTGATATCAATCAACAAGGTGGGTATGATACACCACTGAAAGTAGCATGTAGGGGTGGACATATAAGTATAGTAAAGGGGTTACTTAAAGTGGGAGCTGATATCAATCCACAAGGTGAAACTGAATCACCACTGACAGCAGCATTTAGTGGTGGACATATGGGTATAGTGAAGGAGTTACTTAAAGCGGGTGCTGATATCAATCGACAAGGTAAACATGACACACCACTGACAGCAGCATGTAGTGGTGGACATATGAGTATATTGAAGTTACTTAAAGCGGGGGCTGATTTCAATCAAAAATGTGTGTTTAATACACTACTGACAGCAGCATGTAGGGGTGGACATATGCGTATAGTGAAGGAGTTACTTAAAGCGGGAGCTGATATCAGTGGAGCTACTACAAGCAGGGGCTGATATCAATCAACAAGGTCAATATAATACACCACTGATAGAAGCATGTGAGGGTGAACATATTGGTGTAGTGAAGGTGTTACTGAAAGCGGGGGCTGATATCAATTCACAAGTTGAATATGATACACCACTGACAGCAGCATGTAAGCATGGACATATTGGTATAGTGAAGGAGTTACTTAAGGCGGGAGCTGATATCAATCCACAAGATTTGTATACTACACCACTGGAAGCAGCATGTGAGGGTGGACATATGAGTGTAGTGACGGAGTTACTTAAAGCGGGAGCTGATATCAATCAACAAGGTATATTTGATACACCACTGACAGTAGCATGTCGGCATGGACACATGAGTGTAGTGAAGGAGCTACTTAAATCGGGAGCTGATATGAATTTATGTAAAAAGCATGATACACCATTGACAGCAGCATGTAGGAGTGGATATATGAGTGCAGAGAAGGAGCTACTTAAAGCGGGAGCTAATATCAATCAACAAGGTGAATATGATACACCACTGACAGCAGCATGTAAGCATGGATATATTGATGTCGTTAGGGATCTTCTTAAGGCGGGAGCTGATATCAATCAACAATGTGTGTATGATACACCACTGACAGCAGCACGTATGGATAGATCTACAATTGTATTTGAGATATTAGATAAGGGAATTTTATTCAATTCTTAACATGATGAGTATGATTCACCACTGACAGCAGCATGTAGGGGTGGACATATAAGTGTAGTGAGGGAGCTTCTAGAAGTGGGAGCTGATATCAATAGACAAGGTAAAAAAGTAACACCACTAATAGCAGCATGTAAGAGTGGACATCTGAGTGTAGTGAAGGAACTACTAGAAGCGGGAGCTGATATTAATCGAAAAGGTTTTATTGATGCACCAATGACAGCAGCATGTAGGTATGGACATACGATTGTAGTGAAGTTGCTAATAAAAACGGGAGCTGATATCAATAGACAAGATAAATATGATACACCACTAATAGCAGCATGTAAGGGTGGACATCTTAGTGTAGTGAAGGACCTACTAGAAGCGGGAGCTGATATCAATCGAAAAGGTTTTATTGATGCACCACTGACAGCAGAATGTAGGTGTGGACATACGATTGTAGTGAAGGAGCTACTAGAAGCGGGAGCTGATATTAATTCAGAAAATACGTATACTAAACCGCTGATAGCAGCATGTGCAGGTGGACATTTGGGCGTACTGGCTTTACTAAAAGCGGGACCTGATATAAATAAACAAGGTCAGTAAAAGACTCCAATGACAGCATTATGTGATGTTGGACGTATGAGTGTAGTGAAGTAAAATATATGGAGATAACGAATAGTATTCAAGCTCAAAAGTCCATCAAACAATACAAAATAGGAGCAGAGCAAACACGGACCTCCAAACATCAGAGGTGGGATCAGGTGCCATGGAGGAGTGAGCATCCCCTGCCGACCGGTCACACCCGCCGTGTGCTCCTTGTCATGATCGGGAAATAACGGAAAAATCCGTCGACAATTCAGTGTGTAAATAATGGCCTAACAATTAGAAAGAAAAACGTCAGTCAGCATTTGACTCAATGATAAATAGTATTTGCTGACAAGGTCATTGTATCGACCATAGAACTTACGAAATGATGACTTTAAACGAGACAGCTGATATTCTTGTTTCATCAACTTATTTATCAATAATTTACCTCGTTTTAGAAATTGTACATACGTAGAGCATGCTCTTACGTATCGAATCAACTGAGAGATATATACCCCGTATGCAGGTGATGAATGTATATTGCTGCATAAGTAAGTGAAGTTGACGATTGAAAAGTTAAAGTCATCACCTTTATTATACAGCTTGGTTGCTAGACTACCATTAACGTCTTTTTCAAGTAAAATATCCAAATATGAAACAGATGTGCTAGACTCTGTTAGGAGTTACTAGAAGCGAGAGCTGATATAAATCTAAAAGGTTAGTTTGATATAACACTGGCAGTAGCATGTAAGGGTGGACTTACAGTGTACCGAGGGAGGTACTAGAAGCGGGAGCTGTCATGAAACAGCAAGGTGAGTATGATAAGCCATCGACAGTTGTGAAAATGGACAAATGAGTGTAGTGAAGGATCTACTAGAAGCGGGAGTTGTATCAATCGTCAAAGTAAAACTCATACACCGCTGACATCAGCACGTAAGGGTGGACATATGAGTGTAGTAAAGGAGCTTCTAGAGGCAGTACCTAATCTCAGTAAGGAAATTATGTATCATACACCATTGTTAGGAGCATGTGGGGATGGACATATGAGTAGCTGCTTAAGGCGCAGACTGCTATCAAAGAGCAAGGTGTGTCAGATACGTACACCACTGACAACAGCAGGCATGGGTGGAGTGTTATGAAGGAATTGCTACTGGTATAATATTTGAGTGTAATAAAGGAGCTACTACAGGCAGGGGCTGATTTTTATTTACAAGAGTTTCTTAGTGCATATCTGAGGATGGATATATATATGCAAATAGTGAAAGATCTGCTAGAGGCTGCTAAGACTCTTCTTGTAATATATACAGAGAAAGTACTTTTCTAAAAAGAATAGTTTTAAAAAAATTGAGATTCTCACACCTGTTATACATCTGGTCAATGGTAATAGCGCAGATCCAACTATCTCTGAATAGAGAGTCTTTATCATTGTATATTGCATTAGAAAACAAGGTTGGTGTTATTATAGCAAACTGAAAGTGACTGTCATTTAGCCTTAATTCACATCACAAGGTGATATAGTAACAAATTATAAAGATGATCAGGCCATAAACTGAGAAGAGACTTAAGTCAAAATTTCAAACCAATATAGCTTTTTAAATAATTTTGATAATGAAACAAAATTTTTATCATATGTTTGAATTTAAATGTTATATAAAATTGCAGTTTTTTAAAGCATATACATTAAATAAAACTCAAGATATTGAAAATCAAAATGTTGACTTAAATCTATTCTCAGTTTCTGGTCTTTGGGCCAGGTGCTGAAACAGAGACAAGTATGCTTTATAAAGAGATTTTTTTTAAAAATAATCAGAGGCTTAGAGATCAAACATCTGTTTCTCGGAGTATGTTAACCAAAAAGTAGGTTATTTTGACCTACATTTGGAATTTCACGGCTATATCTAAATATTTCAAACAGTAAGAGGCTTAGAATCATCTAACTATCAGTTGATGCATCTTGGAACCCTGGAATATTTCAAATAAAATGTATATCAATTTTATCTAATTTTGGAATTTTACACTTTTATCTCAATATTTAAGATAAGAAAAGGCTTAAAATCATCAATGTCTGTCAGTTGATTCATCTAAGGTAAACTGACTGTGTCAACTAAAATAATTGGTCAAGGTGGCTAACCTTTGGAATTTCATAGTTGTATCTCAATAGTCATGGTACTAAGAGATCAAACGTTTTGAGTTGATTCACTTTAGTCCTTGTATTGTGTCCACCAAAAAGTAAGCCACTGTGTCCTTCTTTTGGAATTCCGTGGCTTTATCTGAATATTAAAGACGATAAGGGGCTTAGAATCATTAAACCATGTCATTTGGTGCATCTTGGGTTCCCAGAGTATGATTACCAAAAAAATAAGTCACGGTTACCTACTTTAGAAATTCCAGGCTTCATCTAAATATTTATTATACTAAGAGGCTTCGGATAGAAGTTATAGTGTTGTATAATCTATCAGATGATCGATTCTAGGTCCTTGGGCCTTTTGTAATCTGTAACATCTTTTGTTTACACTGATTGATGTTGGACATTACAGAACTATACATTTTGGTGGATTTTATAGAGAGTGTGATCCTGTATCACACTGACTGGGAGCTGTTCTAGCTAGAACAAGATGACTGTTTCGAAAGTTCAAAAAAGCGATAATTCATTTGATAAAAAGTGCTATCTGCAAAATAGTTCGGAGTGTATTAAAGAAACATGATATATGACTATATGAAAAAAGCGGTGAGGATAACAAACAGATATCTCAAAAAAAAAAACCAATACAATGAATATGTGAACAGGCCATAAAACAAGTACCGCCGGAAATTCCAGAGGTGGGATCAAGTGCCTAGAAGTAAGCATCACCTATAGACCAGTCAAACCCCCCTTGATACCTTTGTGTTGATCAGGTAGACGGAAAATTTCGTAATCAAATTTAGTACATGTATTAATAAAGTCTAACAATTGATATGAAACAAGTCAGCCAAAAATGACCCAATGATAGGCTATATTTTCTATCAAGGTCATTATAACAATCATAGAATATATGGAATGTTGACGTTAAACGAGGTTCTTGAAGTCCCTGTAACATTGACTTGTCTATCAGCAGTCTGTTTTGAATTAAAAATTGATCATTCTCAGAACATTTTCTTGAGTATCGAATAAGAGACATTAAAGAGATATGAGGCAGTATGTGTGAGACAGTGAAAGAGAGGTTATGATGATGGGGGGAAAGAGGATTTAGTTATGAGGTCTGTGTTAGACATAGAGAGTGTGTCTGTTCCTGAGAGTACATAATTATTATTTTATAAGTTCAGAAAAAAAGCAAAGATTGGTTTGAAAGACAAAAACGTCTCTGAGGTGAAGAAAGTGCTGAGTAAATCAAAAAAAATAAGAGATAATACTCTTTGTCACAAAATTCAGCTCTATACTGTGTACTTTAAAATATCATATTGAAATAAGTGTACATGTCTTGACATATTTCGCAATTTTTTAAGATACTGTTTTTAAATGATAGATGTAAAGAGGATAATTGAGAATTATCTTTACTGAGTAGCTTATGTAGCGCAATAGCATGGACTCATTTAATTTTCTGGTAGTCATTTCCTGAGACTTTTTCTACCACCTACTTTTAAGGTGTCTTAAAATTTTGACTTGTTAGTATGTATAAGCATTAAGATTTCCATTGCTTCAGGATAAGATTGCTCTGGCTCTGATCAATCTTAATTCAGTGTGTGTTGTTGTAAAGTATCTAAATTTCTCAACACGCCATGCAATAAACATATAAATTCTGCCCATTGACATGTTGCACTCTCATTTTAAATCATTCTGCAAAGATGAAATGATTTCCGTCACAAATGTAATGATACATACCATCAGTTAGAGATTTTATTGAATGGTGGATGTCATTTTTTACAAATCATTAAATGTTTGCTGTTCATCCTTGACCTTCCATAAAGAAAAGTATCCATTATATTATTCCATTTTCCATTAATTAAATTTGGGTTGTTACGCGCCATTTGTTTAGTTGAGAAATAAGTCTGTATCGTATAACGAGTTGCCTATATCACATTTAATGTGACTAACGTCAAAAACGCTTGTCATTGCTTACTATTTAAATGACACTGTGCCTTGGGTGTCTTATCAATGTTTTATATAACCTGTATGATTTAATGCAACCAAAAATCTTCTCAGGTGATTGATTTTAAATGACATGTATGATTAAATGTGATCATTATTTTTGTCAGAAGATTGATTTCAAATTATATGCATTATTAAAAAATGTTATCAAGTGTTGCCAGGAGAGATTATATATAATTTGTATGATTAAATGTAATCAAAAATCTTATTAGGAGGTAAATTTAAATGTCATCAATTTCAGTGTTAGTTGATTGATTTTTTTTATATTACATGTATGACTAATATCAACGTAATCGATTGTTTTGTCGAGAAATAGGTCTTATATTAAGTGTATCATTAATGTAATCAAAAGTCACGTCAGGAGATATATTTTTATCAAACATGTACGATTTAAATTATGTAATCAAGTCATATCATTAGATTGGTTTTTTTATTGCATGTATTGTTGAATGTAATCAATAGTCTTGTCCAAAGATAGGTTTGATATTACTTGCATATGTTTGAGTAATCCAATCAGTAGTTTTTTATGGAGATTCATTAATTATTAAATTATAATGAATAGTTTTGTCAGGAGATATATTATATTATATTAAATGTATGTTTAAATGTAACCAATAGTCTTGTTAGGAGAGTGGTCTTATAAAGATATAATCACTAGTTTTGTCGGTGTTTTTTTTTATCTATACAAGTAAGGATTAAAACATTGGATAAGCAGAGCGCGTTTTAAATAAATTGAATATTGAGAGGAGCGTATAGTTTAAAATATACGCAATGACGAATCATACGGAGTCATGTAACAAATCTGTTTGAAATTTCAGTTACAATTAACATTTTCTGTTGTCGCTTATTGTCTCTCGAGATTTTTCTACACTTAATCTTATTTCTCTCAAATTTTTGTTCATCAACATGTTAATATATTGCATGATATATTCATGCATTTGTAAAAAAAAAAAAAAAAACATTTAAAAAAAACTTTTAAATGAATAATAGTGGATTTTTAGAATAAAATTTAGAAATAGTTAGGAAAAAATTTGTAATTTTTTTTAATGCAATCACAAAGTAAAAAAATTACAAAGATGCAGATCATTCACTTTTCTTTAAGTTACATATGGTACAAAGAAGAAGGTATGGTTTTACCTTTATTGTGCCCTAAAAATTTAATGTTTTCAAAAAGTTTTAAAACTGGCTTAAATATTAGTTGAGTATATGACTGTAATAAATCAGGAAAGAATATAGCATGATGGAATACCATTCTAGATATATGACGTCACTAATTTGATGCATTTCTCTATTTAAACAGAAAAAGCCTCAAAATGACCCATTTCAAGGGTTATTTTCCTTAATAAAATAGTGTCCACAGCCGTCGCCCACGTTAATATTTAGATATGTTGTGTAAAATTCTTTGAAAAATCACATATCTCAAAATCTTTGTGGGCGATGCCTGTGGACAATATTATCTGAAAGAAAATTCCATTGAAAATTGATGTCTTCTGCAACTTTTTAAGAAAATACGGGAAAATGCACAAGTTTATGACGTCACAATTAGCATTTGGAAGGTCATGTGAGAAAAAAGATTTGTATGATCTTTCTGCATGGAATTCCAATAATTCAAAAAGCTTGAGTTTTAATTTTTTATATCACTTTTATTTTTAAGAAAAACACAGGGCAAGATTTGTATTGAAACCGTACCTTGTTCTTTTTGAGCATTATGTTATAGCAAATTGCAAAAATTTGTTTTGATACTTTAAGGTGTTATTGTTATACTTAAATATATATCCAGTGTTTTTCAAAATCTTTGTCAAAAAATATTTTATATATAATAATAAATTAGTGGACAATTTGTAATCGATTAGGATGATGTTTCAGTAGGACAAACTCCTATGTCAAGGTCAAAGGGTCAAAGTGGTTGGTATCCAAAGGAAGGTCTTGTCACAAGGATTACATATGTGAAGTATGAAAGCCCTAGCATCAACAATTCAAAAGTTATGGCCAAGGTTAAAGTTTTTCAAAAGTAGGTCAAACTCCTATGTCAAGGTCAAAGGGTCAAAGTGGTTGGTATCCAAAGGAAGGTCTTGTCACAAGGATTACATATGTGAAGTATGAAAGCCCTAGCATCAACCATTCAAAAATTATGGCCAAGGTTAAAGTTTTTCAAACGCAGGTTAAACTCCTAGGTCAAGGTCAAAAGGTCAAAGTGGTTGGTATCCAAATAAAGGTCTTGTCACAAGGATTACATATGTGAAGTCGAAAAGCCCTAGCTCCAACCGTTTAAAAGTTATGGCCAAGGTTAAAGTTTTTCAAAAGTAGGTCAAACTCCTAGGTCAAGGTCAAAAAGTCAAAGTTGTTGGTATCCAAAGGAAGGTCTTGTCTCAAGGAATACACATGTGAAGTTTGAAACCCCAAGCACGAACTGTTCAAAAGTTATGGCCAAGGTTATAGTTTTTCAAAAGTAGGTCAAACTCCAAGGTCAAGGTCAAAAGGTCAAAGTTGTTGGTATCCAAAGGAAGGCCCTGTCACAAAGAATACACATGTGAAGTTTGAAACCCCAAGCACCAACTGTTCAGAAGTTATGGCCAAGGTTAAAGTCTAATAAAATTTTGCAAAAGTGGGTCAAACTCCAAGGTCAAGGTCAAAAGGTCAAATATGGTGGTACCCAAAGAAAGGTCTTGTCACAAGAAATACACATGTGAAATATAAAAGTCATAGCTCCAACCAATCAAAAGTTATGGGCAAGTTTAAAGTTGACAACAGACAAACAGACAAACCATGCGCGTAGCTGCCTTTACGCAAATCATTTTCAGAAAAAAAAAGATAAAAAAAAAAAAAAAGATAAGAAAAAAGAGAGAATTATTCGGAGAAAAAAAATCTCAGTACCATCCAACAAATATTCGTGTTTCAAATTATTCTGTGTCATATTGTGTCGATTTAAATTTTAAATTATCATGGCTGTATGATAAAATTTGAAATCTTTTATTTAATAACTGACAAATCCAAATAAATCATTCATTATTTTGTCATTTTGTTCTATCATACATTGATATATTTTTTTAAAAAGATCTTTGAAGAAATAAATTTCAGCCACATCGTTGAATGCTATGATCTACTAGTATGATTTACAATACGATATTTTTTTGTTCATAATTAAAATTTTGTATACGTGTTTTTGAACGTTAAGAATGATTATATGATACCAATTAATATATCGGTTAAATTTTAGCCTCAATTATATGTACAATAAGTTTCCATGGAATATTAATTTTCGTTAAAACAATAAATATTACTATGTCTTTTATTTCCTAAACAAAAACTAAATGGCATAATTTTTATATATTAAGAAAATGAATGAAATATTTGGTAAAAGTCCGGAGCTTCTGGGCCCTCACCAGCAGGCACGTAGTATCAGGGGAGCCTCCCCACTATTTATTCCCAAAACCTAACCTTTTACTATTGAAAAATGTACATTGAAAGGGTAGATCCCTACTGTTTGTTGCACCATTGTTAAATCATGGTAATTTGGTAATGTATTAATAAAAATTTGGTTTGTGAAAGATTGACACCCCCCCCCCCCTTCAACAAACTCACACACTCAAGAAATAGGACTTCGTATTTTGACAATCTTCCTTTTTCGTTCTTGCTTGACAAAATTTTTAAAGTTGTAATTTTTTCCTGGCAGGCAAATGCTTTATTACGTGCCTGATCAGAGCCTTTAAACACTGGGGGGGGGGGGCTCAAGACCCCCCCCCCAACCCCCTGTCGTTCTTTGCGTACACATCATTTCTATTCTGGCTACGCGCCTGCAAACAAACAAACAGATAAACAGACAAACAGACAGACAGGACAAAAACAATATACCCCCGGGATCTTTCGATACGGGGGCATAAAAATCTAAAATTATACGGCTGGTAATGTTTATTTAACCCTGATTCTCTCATTGCATTTGGATAAGACTTTTTCTAATGTAAACAAAAACAAAAAAAAAATAACAACAACAACAACAACAAAAAATAGCATGAACTGCTTAATGACCTCGTATCATTTAATCATTGAATCATATAATAAGACAATTATTGCTGATTTAGCACCTTCAAAGTACAATATTGTACTCCTCAGGTGGCTAAATCATGGTACTGGGCTCAAAAACGGAAATAATTGTATCATAATTTGAAATGTGCAGATAAATAAAATTTTATTTTAAAATAAATAGTAAAAATTAAAACTTTTAGGAAAACAGAGCAAAGTTTTGAAATTTAATCTAACTTGTTACGCATTCAATTTTTAATGTCTTTGCGCTTAAACGACGTATAAAAAACATCGAAAATTACACACTTGCAATTTCAAAGGAAAATTAATACAAACCTGTCATCAGCGAAAAAAAAAGTAATATAAAGTGAAAGATAAGATAACAAAATAATTGTTCTCATTAAAAAAAATCAAAATTGCTGAATGGGATGTTTCAGTATTTTAAACATAAATAAAGAAAACATTCTACATTCCTATAGTTATGTTAAAACACGATACTATTAAAGATGATAAAAACGAGACAAATGAATTCGGTGACATTGTAGATATTGTCGAACCAGCCTCATCCTGAGGGCAATTTATACATCTACAATTCTGTGCACGACGTCTAAAAATACTACACTTTCCTGTCCGTTGCTGCTCTTTTCCCTAATAAGTCGGGTTTGAAGTCCTTGCCATTGAAGAATATCCGATAAATTTATAGTTTTATAGTGAAGCAGAAAAACATGTAAGATATCAGTTTCAGTACTGTGAGCCCAGGGACTTATGAACGAAAGGGAAATGTTCTCACCATCTTTGACAGATTTGTAGGGGGAAGTGGGCGCCACGTCCTCTTTCAAGACGAGGGAGACGAGATTATGGTTGTGAGAAAAACCCTTAAAGAAAACAAATTTGGTAAAGGATTGTTGAGCATCGATTTCGTGTTTTTACTTTCACTTTCAGTATGGATAACTTTTTTACATATTCAACAGATTAGATATATACATGTATTGTTATATAGATCTTTCCACGTTATTTATTTGCCCAGAAGAAGATTAGTACCGCAGTTACCATGAAAGGGCTGCTAATTTAAACCTACCCAAAGTAGCTAATTTTACTTTTTGCATTGCTTGTATTTTTTGGCCGTTTAAATACCTACGTAGCAATTAATAGCTACGTAGGTAGAAATAGTCTTTGGACTGGACCTGTTCAGTGTACAGTTTTATAAACTGTATTTAGACATCAAACCCCACACGACATTTGGTGCGTCTAGACTCTGTCATCACATGTACATTGCATTACCAAACCGAAGCCTGAACAGTGCTGATTTTAATGAAAAACATTTTATATTTACTATTTATCTGCAATATATCCCTTAAATTGAGGCAAGTTTTTTTTTTAACTTTTGTTGTCATTCTCAGGAGAACGTTGATTAACAAGCGATGCATTGTGGGTCCAGAGTTACTGCAGGAATAAATTCTATTGAATAAATGTGCAGTAGTCCGAATTTTCTCTTCACCCAGGTGTTGTCATTAGATCTCGCAACGGAGCGGCTCTTTACGCCGCTAGCTAACATGTTTACAGTATGACCAATGGGCAAGCCCAGTTGTACCATCAAAAACCTATATACACAGCTTAGACCTGTACCGCTGATCCACTACTCTCTTTAGAGAAGTGGACAGGCTTTCGCCTACATCCACTTCTCTTCGCAAGCCTTCATGTTTTGATTCTGGAAAACGTGTAAATCTCGAACCAGTGACGGTCTAGACTACAACTGACGTTTCGTCTAAAATACATCTGAATGTACGTAATAGACGTGTTATCTTAACAATTTTAACATAAATACACACAATTGTCACAAGAAAACTGACCTTTAAGTATTGTTAATCCATTTTCACAAGTTCTCCATCCCGGATTTAAACTAAATGTTTATCTACCACAGCTTATTAGAAAAAATTGAAAATTTTAAGTCGGATAATTTGGAAAATTTGGCGAAGACTTATTTTAATGTTCAAAAAAAGTTTTTGACAATTCACTTTTGATTTAGCATATTATTCAAAATTAATATTATTACCTATACTTATTTTTACTACTTTAATACAATTTAAATATAAATTTGAGCTTAAAAAATACTTCATTACTTCCTCACAGACAATACTAAAAAATATTTTTTTATTTTTAAATGATATTAACTCTACCTTTCCCGAGAAATGAAAAAAAGATTTAAAACAAAGATCAAAAGAATTTGAACGAAACTTGAGGAAATACTGCCTCGTTAGTTTAAAAAGAGTAGACGATTTCTCTCGTTTCATTATTATTTTGTAAAAATAGTTTCCATTTTTATCCGAATTGGAGATTTTTAAATACTTCAAGAGTTACTTGCACATAATTTAAATCCGGGATAGAGAACTTGTTAAAATGGATTAACAATACCTAAAGGTCAGTTTTCTTGTGACAATTGTGTGTATTTATGTTAAAATTGATAATATAACACGTCTATAACGTACATTCAGAAGTATTTTAGACGAAATGTCAGTTGAAGTGAAGACCGTCACTGGTTCAAGATTTACACGTTTTCCAGAATCAAAACATGAAGGCTTGTGAAGAGAAGTGGATGTAGGCGAAAACCTGTCCACTTCTCTAAAGAGAGTACTGATCCACCTCTTCAAACCTCAAACCACATGAGACACAGTCTAGACTGTGACGTTGGAATATTTACGGAGACAGCCGATCGTCTGGTTGAACGAGACTATAGGTCTTGTGCAATATTTAATGAAATGCGTTTCAGAGTAGATGCAATCATTTTGTGTTTCTTTTAAGCTCTCTGCAAAGAAAGAAAAGTAAATGGATCTCTTAAATTAGTAAGGAACAATTATCCTTGGTCTTTTGTATGTTTGGTAAAAATTTTGCATGGAATCCTGGAATTTGGAAGGAATTCTTGGAATGTTGCACAAGAAAATTTGCTTGATGTATGTACAGATTTCATTCTGAATTTCCTCTGCTCTTACACATTAGTCTATTTAGCTCACTTTGCAAGCGTCACTCGCTGTGCTCGCTATAAACCGAGACCCAATTAACTGTGTGCAAAAATGTGAATGAAATCAATCAAAGACATTTACAATAGTTATACTTCCATTTGTATGTTGACTTGATAAACTCTAAATAAACAAGATGTGTTTGTGAAACACTGATGCCCCTGTATGGCAGCCCTATGGTACGTGCTATGCCTACCATTGTTGTAACGGGTGACGGGGAATCAGGGTTCGATTCTGGAGAGGGAGCCCCGTATGGCAGCTTATGGTGAAGGTTAAAGTTTCTCAAATTTTTAATGCAAGTCAAAGTCCAGGCCAAAAGATAAGAAATGTTGGTACCCAAGGAAAGGTCTTGTCTCAAGGAATATACCTGTGAAATTTGAAAGCCCTAGCTCCAACTGTTCAAAAGTTATGGCGAAGGTTAAAGTTTTTTAAAAGTATATAAGTAAAACGTCAAGGTCAAAGTTGTTGATATCCAGAGGAAGGTCTTGTCAAAAGGATTACATTCCTCTGTTAAAAATGCAAACCAGTAGAGCTACAGTCTCATCAGAGACTTCTGGTTTTAAATGATTATCTTCACCTTTTGCAAAATATGACTTCATAATCACATTTGTTTACAAACAGCACAAAATTTCAGGAATGGAAGAGTTAGGATAGCATCATAATTAAAGTGTAAAATATTGTATTATATAATCTTTTCCCCTTCAAAAATACTAACATGTATATATAACTTGATTCCATGTGTTGAAGTCTTGATTCATCAAACAATTTATACTGGATTAGGAAATATTTATTTTATCATTTGTACTTCTTACATTCTTCAGCCCCAAAAACTGATGACATTCCACCCATGACAGAACTAAGCAAGCTCACAGAAACAGAGGAGGAGAGGGTATGTGATTTGTATGAAAAAAATAATCTTCAAAGAAATATAGAATGATTTGTTAATCAAAAATGTGATCTTTGTTTGGAATATATGTTGGCATTCAAGGTCTCTGGCAGATAGGTGTAAGACAGCCAAAACTAACAGGGATTTCTACTCTTACATGTATCTGTAATGCAAAATTCAAGTTTGACATTAATGAATATGAATGAATTATACACTTTATATTACATACATGTGTCTTGTTACTCTCCAGGATGATCCCAGATCAAATACTCTGGACAAAGAGGACACAAATGCCGGAGAACCTAGAGGTAACCATAGCAAAGAAAAGAGTGGCAAATCAAGGGAAGTTAGGGGTATCTCAAGGAAAGAAAAGACTGGCAGTTCCAGAAAAGCTAAGGGTTCCTCTAGGAAAGTCAAGACTGACAAGTCCAAAGACACTATGGGTACCTCAAGAAAGGAGAAGTCTGGCAGTTCTAGGGAAAAGAACATTGATGAGAAAGCTACTCTGGTATGTTTAATACTATAGAGTTTGTTTGCTATATATAAACATGGGAATTTTTTTTTTTGGAAACTTACATCTTGTGTAATGAAGTAATCTTTACATGCAGGAAGTCATTCAGTCTCAGGAAAAGATCCAGAAAGTCATTCAGACTCAGGAAGTCAGCCAGAGACAGGAAGACAATCAGAGACAGGAAGACAGAAATTCTCCCACAGCCCCTGTCAGACGTATACGGCGCCATTGTAAAAGATTCAAAGGTGTGCATGTAAGTAGAGAATTGGTGTCACATGAGAGAAGATCAGAATCAGAATTATGAATTATAGCTTTAGAATCAGAATTATGAATTATAGCTTTATACTTTTTGAAAATTAACTCTTAAGAAGCCCAATGCTACATGTATTGGAGTTTGTGTAATTCATGCAGAACAATGAGAACATGTGTAAAATGTCTGGTACTAGTAATGCCTACTGTCTAGTATATAACCTGAGATGTGTGAAGTAAGCATAATTTCTATTGTAAGTGTTATAGCTCACACACCTTCTCTTTCTTTTGTAGAAGAGGCCAGCCAAGTGTTGTCCTGTAGAGGGTTGTACAGGGCTGGTTGTTAACTTACCAAGGCACATTAGGACTGTTCATCCAGACTTACGTCTCAAGAGTTCTTGAGAGCAAGAGCAAAACTTAAAGGATTTCCCTTGGGGAAGGTGGGTGAATAAGACTTGTTCTCATCAGAACTTTAAGAAGGGGGGGGGGGGGTGAGATGTTTTGTCATTAGAAACATAAGAGGTTTTCACTCAGAGAAGGTGGGTAAATAAGACTTGTTATCATCAGAACTATACTTGGAGAAGGTGGATGAGTGTAGCTTGTTTTACCCTGACTATCACTTCCTCTTTTTTCTGCTTTTCTTCATTTTTTAATCATACTCCTATCATTCTTTTTTTGATTAAGTGTTGTCCACAGTCTCTCAGTATTTTGATTTTTTTTAACTTTTGCATTCCTTGATATAATGCATAAACAATAATGTCAGTACACACAAACCCAACTTAGAAAAGTATACACTTTTCTTAAACTGATCAACCTTGCATGATGAATTATTTTACTTACTGGATGCTTTAGATGTGTAGTTGATTGGAGCAATTAATGTTTGAATTATTATTACAGTGAACACTGATATAGTGAATTTTTGCTTTTCTAGATGTAATGTTTTATCACCAATTGACAAAAAAAAAATAAAGACTTTAGTTGGCTATTACAAACAAATTTAGCTGTAAGTGGCATTTTGTTATAACCTTATACTACTGTAAATATTAAGAATTCTGTCTTCACCAAACTTTACAAAGGACCATGATAATGAGGCATCTAAGAATGTTATAACCAGTGATGCTTGCTGTGCATTCCAGACAGGGCTAGAAATTTTTTTTTTCACTGGTCATTTGGGCTATCACCTTAAATTTTTACTGGTCAACTCAGCACTTTTACTGTCCCACTGGGCCAGTTGATTTTAAAATGACTGGCCCAAATGCTTAATTTCAATAGTAATATTTTGTTTATATTATGATATTTATTAGTAAAACATAAAAAACGATAAACAAAAAAAAAAAAAAAAAACAACAGAACTTGGACACACAACCCTGACAATTTAACTAGCCTGACTGTGAATTAATTTTGTCATACATGCATTAAAAAAACACTGTCATGGTCAACTTAATAAAATAGCTCCACTCACATATTAATAAAACATAATATTGTTCAATACATTGGAGATACAAACACCTTTTGTATTGTGTTACTTGTGTGGTATACATCTAGCTGATGATCTTTTTGAACTACCCTTCTGAAGTTATTAATAGGCTTGTAAAGAATTGACCATTTTGTATTACAGTTCCTGAAATGCTTTCAAGGATTGCATAATCAACATGGCTGGGACCTCAGCCTCAAGTATGGTGTTGTTAACATGGCTAGGACCTCAAACAGCCTCAGAGATGGCCTTGACAACAAGGATAGGACACCAGCCTCAAGGAGTGAAGGACTCTGTAGACAACATGACTAGAACACCAGCCTTAATGACTGCATAGTCAACATTGGTAGGACCTCAACCACAAGAATTGCCAACATCACTAGGCTTTTAGCCTAAAGGACTGCCTAGTCAACATTGGTAGGACCTCAGCCACAAGAATTGCCAGCATCACTAGGCTTTTAGCCTAAAGGACTGCCTAGGAGACATGGGTAGAACACCAGCCTTAAAGACTGCATAGACAACATGGGTAGAATTTCAGCCACAAAGACTGCATTGACAACATTGGGAATCTTCCTCTGCTGATGATGTGTCAAGTCTAGAAAAAAGAAACTTCCTTAGAGGAGGAATGGATTTCAAGCGAAGTTATTTAATTGTCTTGTAGCAAATAAGCTTCCTAGCTTCACATATGACCTGATGAGTAAGTTGGCTTTGAATTGACTAATGGAAACAAGGTCAGCTAGGTGCAACCAAAACTACATGTATGTGAGAGAAGGAAAAGATCAAAAGACAGGAGAAAGGGTCATTAAAGTTACGATTAGACATGGAATTTGATTGCATATAAAATTGTGTTTTGATGAGCATCACATTTTTAAAATGGTCAATTATTTTTTAGATATCCTCAAAGCATCTGTTTGTCATTATAATTAACAGTAGTGTCATGGTGTTTGAGATCAGTGTTGTGTTTCATGGTTCTTGTTTATTTTTTTTTCTTAATTTGTTTTAATTTTGTTTTAATCTTTCTAGCCTAATTATGTTATTTTAAATTAAGCCCATTGACATTAAAAATCTTATACTTATTATTATTTTTATTTGTTTAATACTTGGTTTTCTCAGCAATAAGTTTTCAACAAAATGTTGATATTCCATTCATAAGGATTTAATATATTTGTTATGGTCTCTGAATGAAATATTCTGGAATGGGACTTAAAACAGCATACCATCAAATTTTTATTGTGTTTTTCTTAAGCATCAAAACTCTATCATGCTTGTGTGTCTTATAGAAAATTGATTTATTGATTTCATTGTTACATGCATCATGTTCTTTATTTTCAAGACTCCCATTATTTTTGTTAGTAATTCAAACTAATCCTGAATTATTAAACTTAGTTATATGATCATCTCACTGTTGTGTAATAACTTTCAAATGACTAAACTATTACAATGAGTAGTTATGGCAGGTAAAATGTGGCTATCTATAGTCTTGTCAGATAAAGGGACAAATGCATATTATACACCATATTTTGTCATTTGCCAACTGTTGTGACTCTTAAGGATGCATACCACAAACAAATTTTCTTATCTCCCAAACAGAAGAGTTACACTGGTATTTTTTTTTTCAATATTTCTTTCAATGAAAATGTAATTAAAAAAAATTGATTGTGTAAAATGTAAAAATTCACTCTTGAAAATGTCCCTAGAAACTTTGCAGCAAGAAAACTTCATATTTAAAACTTTTCAAAAAATATTTTGAACTGTAAAATTTCCGTTTTACTTTTTTCACCAAATTATGTGGCTTGGTCTAACATTAAGCTGTATAACTAAAGAAATATCACACCTTAAGTAAGAAAGGCACCTAATTTAGCAAAGATATCTGAATTTTGAAAGAAAAAAGTTTGTGTTATTTATCCTTAAGGTCAGCTGCAAGAAGACGTGACACTTATAGGTCAGCTGTCAGCAATCATGACACTCATAGGTCAGCTGCCATGGCACTAATAGATAACCTTTTAGCAGTCATGACACTTATAAGTTAGCAGCCAGCAATCATGACACTTATAAGTCAGCTGTCATGGCACTTATAGGTCAGCTGCCATGGCACTTATAGGTCAGCAGTCATGACACTTTTAGGTCAGCAGTCATGGCACTTATAGGTCAGCTGTCTGCAGTCATGGCACTTATAGGTCAGCTGTCAGCAGACATGGCACTTAAAGGTCAGCTGTCCACAGTCATTGCATTTTAAGGTCAGCTGTCCACAGTCATGTCACTTATAGGTCAGCTGTCAGCAATCATGGCACTTATAGGTCAGCTGTCAGCAGTCATGGTACTTAAAGGTCAGCAATCATGTCACTTATAGGTCAGCTGCCAGCAATCATGTTACTTATAGGTCAGCTGCCAGCAGTCATGACACTTATAGGTCAGCTGTCAGCAATCATGACACTTATAGGTCAGCTGTCAGCAATCATGTCACTTACAGGCCAGCTGTCAGCAATCATGGCCCTAAAAGGTCAGCAATCATGGCACTTATAGGTCAGCAGTCATGGCATTTATAGAATAGCTGTCCACAGTCATGGCCCTTAAAGGTCAGCAGTCATGGCACTTACAGTTCAGCTGTCACAAGTCATGACACTTATAGGTCAGCAGTCATGGCACTTATTGGTCCGCTGTCAACAGTCATGTCACTTATAGGTCAGCAGTCATTGCACTTATAGGTCAGCTGTCAGCAGTCATGTTACTAATAGGTCAGCAGTCATGCCATTTATAGATGAGCTGTCCACAGTCATGACCCTTAAAGGTCAGCAGTCATGGGACTTACTGGTCAGCAGTCATGGGACTTATAGGTCAGCTGTCACAAGTCATGACACTTATAGGTCAGCTGTCATGTCACTTATAGGTCAGCAGTCATGGTACTTATGGATCAGCTATCAACAGTCATGTCACTTATAGGTCAGCTGTCCACAGTCGTTACACTTTAAGGTCAGCTGTCCTCAGTCATGGCACTTATAGGTCAACTGTCAGCAATCATGACACTTATAGGTCAGCTGTCCATAGTCATTGCACTTATTGGTCAGCTGTCAGCAGTCATAGCACTTATAGGTCAGCAGTCATGGCACCTGTAGGTCAGCAGCTGTTGTAATAGGTCAGCTACATGTACCAATAGTAATAGCTGTTACAATAGGTCAGCTACCAATGGTAGTAGCTGTTACAATAGGTCAGCTACCAATAGTAATAACTGTTACAATATGTCAGCTACCAATAAAAATAGCTGTTGTAATGGATCAGCTACATGTACCAATAGTAATAGCTGTTACAATAGGTCAGCTACCAATAGTAATAGCTGTTGTAATAGATCAGCTACATGTTCCAATAGTAATAGCTGTTACAATGGGTCAGCTACCAATAGTAATAGCTGTTACAATAGGTCAGCTACCAATAGTAATAACTGTTGTAATAGGTCAGCTACATGTACCAATAGTAATAGCTGTTACAACAGGTCAACTACCAATAGTAAAAGCTGTTACAATAGGTCAGCTACCAATAGTAATAACTGTTACAATATGTCAGCTACCAATAGAAATAGCTGTTTAATAGATCAGCTACATGTACCAATAGTAATAGCTGTTACAATAGGTCAGCAATAATAATAGCTGTTACAATAGGTCAGTTACCAATAGTAATAGCTGTTTAATAGATCAGCTACATGTACCAATAGTAAGAGCTGTTACAATAGGTCAGCTATATAGTAATAGCTGTTACAATAGGTCAGCTACCAATAGTAATAGCTGTTACAATAGGTCAGCTACCAATAGTAATAGCTGTTACAATAGGTCAGCTACCAATAGTAATAACTGTTACAATATGTCAGCTACCAATAGAAATAGCTGTTTAATAGATCAGCTACATGTACCAATAGTAATAGCTGTTACAATGGGTCAGCAATAGTAATAGCTGTTACAATAGGTCAGTTACCAATAGTAATAGCTGTTTAATAGATCAGCTACATGTACCAATAGTAAGAGCTGTTACAATAGGTCAGCTATATAGTAATAGCTGTTACAATAGGTCAGCTACCAATAGTAATAGCTGTTACAATAGGTCAGCTACCAATAGTAATAGCTGTTACAATAGGTCAGCTACCAATAGTAATAGCTGTTACAATAGGTCAGCTTCCAATAGTAATAGCTGTTACAATAGGTCAGCTACCACTAGTAATAGCTGTTATAAAAGGTAAAGAATGAAGACTTGAGGAATATTTGTTTATTCTAAGATCAGGTAGAGCACAACAGTAGAAAGCTGAGATAGTTCCAAAGACATGTACACGGTGCAAAATGTATGTGAAACGTATAAAATGATACTTTTTTTCAATTTCAGTAATTGTTTACAATTTTTTTTCTTTTTCGCTGTTATATCCAGACCTGAAGGAAAAAGGGGGGGGGGGGCTCCAGTAATTTTGCCATTATGTACTTCACAATAGGAAGCAAAGCTAATTTTCGGTTGGTAACACCAGATCACCTTTTTTTTGCTTCTCAGTGATATTTCTGTTGTTACTCTGTCTCCACCAACTTACGCTGTGTCCCCTAAACTGTAATTTTCTCCAACGTGCTCGCTAAGCTGTTCTGTCAATATATTTTGGTCCAAATAATAATGTTAGGCAAAAATTGTCTACTTTAAACCAAAAAAAAAAAAAGAAAGAAAAAATTGTTGTCAGTTTTTAAAACATTGTAATTCGTTATATACATAAAATGAAAAAAAATGGATATTTTAAGGGCTCATAAAAACTGCGATTTGGGTTTTATTTTGAATCGACATTTTCCGTCACACTTTCAAGAGAGAACTTTTTTTTTTAAATAAAGATAGATGCAACAAAAGTCTGATTAGTTTATCAAAAATAAAAAAATATATATTTACAGAATATTATAAATCACAAAAACACATGTAATTGTACACAATGGTAATTGTAAACAATTGTAAACACATCAAATATTTACAGGAAGTTCTATCAAGTTTTCAGATATTACAGAACTATGCTAAATATGATCTACAATTAAAATGTTCTGCATCGAATCGCGAAAAAAAGATCATGATTATATTCATATAAAGTTTAGTCAAAATTAATAAAAATATAAGAGGTGAAAAAATCTAACAAAAATCGAATGGAAAGCATTTCTTTTTTCTTTTTTTTTTTTGGGGGGGGGGGTCAAATTACCAAAAAGGGGCACACCTTCTTATCATTACAGTGAATTTGTTTATATCTCAATGAAGGAGAAAACAAAACATCATTTCGTATTTTTTTTATGTAGGCCTAATTAAATGATTTATTGAATAACATTTAAAAAAAAAAACAGAAAAAAAACAGATGACACTAGGATAGAATTACAGAGTTATGCAGAAATTTTCCATAAAACATGAATATTATTTTTGCCTCGCATTCCTTTTTAAAAGGACTCTTAAATAAATAATAGAATTCATCTCAAAAACGGTTTCTTGAATGTTATGCTGGAGGTTTTGTCAGAGTTGCGCCCCTTCCGCTGCTTGTAAAGCAAGCGTCGGAGTAACGCAGATGAACAGCAGCATTTTTGACAGTGAGCGAATGGTTTCCGAGATGTAAATAATATTAATAAAATGTAGCAAATCTGGGATTTTTTTGCACAAGATGGGGACACAGCGTGTCCTCTTTTATTTTTATGTGATATTATGTGGGATCGAGCTGGACTTGATCGTGAATTCAGAGAAGATCCGTAAGTATCTAGTCTCTCTATTGTCATCGATTTTCGGTATGTTTGAAAAGTCTGCATGAGTCATGTCTTGGTTGTCGGAACCATACGTTCAGTGTTAGACTCAAACAGCATAGAATTTTGTACACTTTATGTTATAGCCTCAGTTTGCTGCATTTCCTGTGATAGAATGAAGAATATTATTGAAACAGTTTATGCCATCATTGAGCCTTAGCGTAGCTTAATGAAGCCCTTGTTCTTGTTGTTAGATTATATTGTAAATCGAGGATGTGCAAAAATACTCCATAAAAATATAGACATGATAGACCAGGGCCCTACATGAAAGAAGGGTTTTGGCATCATCTGTCATGGTGATCGAAGTACTTAGATTTTATGAATAATGAAAGTAGAAAACCCAAAACCACAAATCGGGGATTTTTACAGAGTATATATAAGGATGGCTGCCATGGGATGACTTAATTTCTTTTTACATTTTTAATTTTTTTTAATCCTGCAATATTGTAGGGTGCAATACTTTTGATTTCCAACTTTTTATCATCATATTTCTATTTCCAAGTTAATTCTACCCTGTTTACTACAAGTATAATAAGGTACACATTGTATATTACACTGTCTTGCAATAGGCCTTTGTATAGAGAAATGTCTTGACAAATAATCAAATCCAAAGGAGAGTGATGTGCTTGGCATAACAAATAAGATAATTAAGCACATCCAGACTTACCAATTTGCTGTAAAATGATGAAATATAGTAATCGTCATGAATATGGTATAAACATGATAAATAACATTAAATAATTTCACTGTGTTATAGGTTTTGACTATGTTCAGCTTCTACAACAAATTCCTCCCGACACCCCCCTACCTTATGAAATCATCTTCCCCAAACGAATCCTGACGAAAGGGAAGACAGCAGGGATATCAACCAGAGAATCTAAGATAGGACATCATGTAAGTTAAACTAAAACTTAGGCAAAGACTCTTAATTTAAAATGAAAATATCTCATTTTCAAAACTCCCTATCTGTCTTTTTGACTGAGTTTTTAATGTATACTCTTTCTTTCTGTTTGATTTATTTACTGTGTGATTTCATCTACTCAGGGAACGTACGAACACATAGAACAAGTGACATTTCAGCTTGTGGTAGACGAAGAAACTCACAAAATCAAACTACATAGAAATAGGTGAGCTTCCATTCAACTGTGTATACCTGGTATACATGGTATAGGTATTTAAAATAAAACAAGATTTAAAAAAAAAATAAGATTTACTATACATTATCATCATGGTCTTACTATCCACATCATTACTGAGCTATAATTTTTTTTGCAGTGCTCTGTTGTCCAATGGCATCAGTGTCAAGCATTACCTTACTAAGAATCAACAGATCATTTCCAAGGTAAGCCTGCCTAATCTTCTCCTAATTTTATAAGTCTGCCCTGGTGTCTAGATTTGTAAGTCTATGCTGGTGCCTAGATTTGTAAGTATGTCCAAGTGCCTGAGTTTTAAGTCTGTGCTGGTACCTAGATTTTGAAGTCTGATCTAGATCTTTCTTTTGAATGACTGTCAGTGTGCTAAGCTAGTACATGTAGTTTATTATTATTTTTAGCTCACCTGGGGGAAGGATGGGGCCACAATGGGGAATCGAAATTTTATTTAGGAATATAGAAGAAAAAAAATCCTTAAATATCTTCTCAAGAACAACAAACCCATGATTAGTCATGGAAGCATCCTCAGGGCAGGAAGTTTAGATTGATGTTTGTTCAGAACATGACCATTGGGGGTAGGGTGGCTACTGAAGAATTACAGGGCCATATTGATTCAGATGAGCATTGTGGCCCATGGGCCTCTTGTTTGGCCAGTTTAAGTCACAATGTAGATCTAGTTATAGACAGTACAAAAAAATTGCCAGACCCTTTGAAAGTATTTCTTTGATTAGAGAAACATTATAGACTGAGGAATCAACAAAAACAAAAAATTCAACACAATGCACAATTGGATGAAGAACCTTTGAATTTTTGTGTTATGTTTTTTCTCTTGAGAAAATAAGGGAGCGTTAAACCAGTGTGTTGAAGCATCACTTAAGTGTTTTAAAGCTGGCAGGGATCCACACACACATTAAAGCACCCAGTCTTTGATCTGCTGCACCTGAGAACACTTAGTTCCTCGAGAGGCAGAAAGTCAGAAACACAGACTAAACATAAATACTTCACTTGTACAGGGTTTGAAGGGAAGAGTTTTCTGTATACTCACATCCTGCATAGAGAAAAAAATCCACAATTTTCTTTGAATACAGAGGACATCAGAGTTGATTAAAGGTCTCTCAATAACAAATTGTTGTTCGTCTCTGAATTTCTGTACTCCATGGTTTGTGTCAGAGATTTATGGTTTACATGACAGGTACAAGTTAACTACTAGAGGACAATATTAAAATGTCATATGTTTATTTTCTGTTCAATTCTTTGATATTTGGATGTTAGAATAATTCAGTAATAGTCACCTCTGACAGAGTATTAATTCATACACTTGATTCTGACACTGAGAAATAATTTTACACCACATCACAGTACCGAGAAAGTTCTTAGTCATTTATTTATAGATTTGTGTCCCACTATAATTCACTTGGTAAGAACTGGAATTGATTCTTAGTGAATGATGATGGTAATATGAGCTGTATTGTAATGTTAGAAGATCCTGGTTATATGACCTGGTTTATTCAGATGTCTACCAGCTAAGGGTCGTTATTGTCTCAGGGGATAGGGGCCTCTAGAGATGAGACTCAAGTATAGGCTCAGAAAGTAATATAGTGTATTGACTTTAGTGATTCTATAGAGCACAAACTTAATTAGTGATTAGATGTGGAATTAATGAAGGTGTGCAAGTATATGATATATACAAGAGTGTTTTATCAGCCATAGTATCATTCTTTTCTGAGCAGTTGTTACTGTAAAATCAAATGAACTAGAATCATAAATTTGTGAAGCTGTTTCAGTCTTTTTCTAGAGTATAATCAGTATTCATGGTATTTTAGCTCCTAGCTTTCTTCGCAAGATCCAGAAGCATTTTACACATATACACATGAACTCATATATTCCTATCTGCTACTGTATAATTTTGGGTGTATCCTTATAGTGGAATAAGATTTTGCACTGAAATGATTTAAAAATTGAACAGTCCAAAATAAAAATGCTGTTCAACATGATATTTTAGAATCTGTTATTCCTGTTACAACAGATACATATATATATATATATATATTCTCTATAAGCATGCAAGATTAGCTTATGTCATATTATTATACCCCCGCTCCGAAGGAGAGGGGGGTATACTGTTTTACCCTTGTGTGTCTGTCTGTCTGTCCGTCTGTGTGTCTGTCCGTAACAAATTTTGGTCGCAGTTTTCTCAGCACTCACTACTCATCGCAGATGCTTGAAATTTTAGCACACTCTTTGTTTAGGCATGCCATATGGTGGGTTTCATTTTTGTACGAATCCGATGTCAACTTCCTGTTTATCCGTGCATCTCTCCGTACCATACATAACAAATTTTGGTCGCAGTTTTCTCAGCAACTACTCATCGCAGATGCTTGAAATTTTAGCACACTCTTTGTTTAGGCATGCCATATGGTGGGATTCATTTTTGTACTAATCCGATGTCAACTTCCTGTTTATCCGTGCATCTCTCCGTACCATACATAACAAATTTTGGTCGCAGTTTTCTCAGCAACTACTCATCGCAGATGCTTGAAATTTTAGCACACTCTTTGTTTAGGCATGCCATATGGTGGGATTCATTTTTGTACTAATCCAATGTCAACTTCCTGTTTATCCTTGCGTCTGTCCGTACCATACATAACAAATTTTGGTCGCAGTTTTCTCAGCAACTACTCATTGCAGATGCTTGAAATTTTAGCACACTCTTTGTTTAGGCATGCCATATGTTGGGATTCATTTTTGTAAAGATCCAATGTCCACTTCCTGATTATCACTGTGTATGTCCATAACTGAACTTGTATATTCACATCAGAGCGGGGGTATTATTAGTGAGCATTGGCTCACAGACTTCTTGTTTGATATAGCACCATATCCAAGGTATTCACTTCAAATACTCTGTGTTCTCCCATAGTGTGTGATCCCCCATACTCTGTGTTCTCCCATAATCTGTGTTCCCCCATAGTCTGTGATCCCCCATAGTCTGTGATCCCCCATAGTCTGTGCTCCTCCATAGTCTGTGTTCTCCCATAGTCTGTGTTCTCCCATAGTCTGTGATCCCCCTTAGTTAGTGTTCCCCCATAGTCTGTGTTTCCCCATAGTCTGTGATCCCCCATAGTCTGTGATCCCCCATAGTCTGTGCTCCCCCATAGTCTGTGTTCTCCCGTAGTTAGTGTTCTCCCATAGTCTGTGTTCTCCCATAGTTAGTGTTCCACCATAGTCTGTGTTCCCCCATAATCAGTGTTCCGCCATAGTCTGTGTTCTAACCCAAACAAAATGACCAGAAACAAAACAGAGCCTAAATCTTTATGTCCACTTGGTTATCAGTACCAATTAATGGGCAGAAATTGAGTTTCGGGAACTTGTGATAGTCAAGTGAAATGCCCTGAGTAATCCTGCAGGTTGTTCTTATTAATTTCTAGAGAAATATTCCTTATGTTGATTTTTCAGTACTTTGATTCTCTACTTTTAGACTGTAGAACACTGTTACTATCACGGTGAAGTGAAGCGTGATGGGTGGTCAAGCGTGGCGGTCAGCACCTGTAATGGAATCAGGTAAGGTTAAAGGTCAACAGTGACCTCTCTTTGGATTTAGAGGTCAATCCTGACTTCTTGTTCTTGTTATTTCTTTGAATCATAATATGACCCGTCCAGGTTAGAGTGGGTCAAAATGTCAAAAGTGACCCATATTTGAGTATGACAGTGTGGAATCCTTTATCTAATGCAAACTTGATTGGTGCAAATGTAAAATTATTTACAATCTATCTTTTATTATTCAGCATTTTCATACAACATTGCATATTAGCTACTTCAAACTGATGATAAAAAGGTACATTTTACAGCTCTTTGATCAGCTCTGGAAGCAATTATTCTTTTCTGAAGGTTATGTTGACAAAAAATATAAAGTTGAATAGACATCAGTTTTACATATATTTAACTGTAGAAAAATGTCCCGAAAACAATTTTAGCAGTGCATTTTTAAATTAAGATTTTTAAATGGGAAAAAAAAGCAGCAAGAAGTTCAAATTGATTAATCTTCACTAAATTTTTCCTTCTGTGGAAACTCTGAGATCAAAGAGTTCAGTTTGTTGTGTAAACAACATCTGCTGTTGTCCCATCTCTTCTAATTCAGAGAAAATTACTCTCTGTTTAGAAAGTCTATCAGTATAATTACTTAACTGTGAACCCAATGCACTTTGACTACAAAAGATTAATTAACATGATTAATGTTTTAAAAACAACAGATTCAAATCAAGATTTTAGATGTCTGTTTGATGATTTTTTAAAAAAAATTCTAGACGTTAATCTGCAAAAATTACCTTGTTAAAATATTTTCACAGAGAGAGAGAGAGAGAGAGAAAGTGTTGCCCCTATGGCTTTGAGAGGAAGATTAAAAAGTTCAGAGAACCATCTCTGTCTATAGACACCCCTCACCTCCTGTTAACCATGGTTAACACAGCCTAATGGCTGTGATAAAACACACTTTGATGTTTGTAATCACTCAAAAAAACCGAGGGAAGAATGCTGGCAGTTCATCAAGTCATCTAAAGTATGTACAGATAAAGATTTAATTGTCTGTGCAGATGTTGAATGGAGCCTGCATAGACTTATTATACAGGGGGGCTATACATGGCTCTCATTATTAAATGAGTGTCTGCCATTTGCTTAAGAAATTAATAACAGGATCAACAGAATTCTATATCATAATTTTGTTTCTATGTGGAAAAAGGTATTAAAAATTAAAACCATTCTCTGCAGCAATACAATCATCTTCATAGCCTTATAATGATACTTTAGTAAATGATGCACCTTAAATTTACATTGATTTCTAATGATAATAGTTAAAAATCATTAATTCTCTCATCCTGGTGAAAAACAGCCAATGCTAAATTCTTTGTTTGTTGAGACTTTCTGACAAAATTCCATTTACTGTATCAAGGTTTCTTTATTGGATTAAGCAATGTCATAATAGTTGGTATGGTGTAACAGTATATCTGAGATCCTATAAAGATAAAAGCTATTAGGCTTGAAAAATAACCACCATTTATAAATTATTGATGTTAACCATGTTAACTGTAGATTCTTTAAGCTGGATCTAATTTCAATTTTGTATTGATATATGATTTATTAAAATAGAACTCTATAGCATATTAAAACTTAAAGCATGTTAAATTAAGATTGCTTTGGAACTTGCAATTATAGACATGATGGAATTCAGATCACCCCCCCCCCCCCCCTCCCCAGTTTTGTGCATAATTAAATTGGGACTATTTTTAAGAAGCATTGAAGAAACTTATTACAGTTATTTATTGTTTATTTATTTATTGTTTATTTATTTATTATTGTTTATTTATTTATTACATTTTCAACAGTGAAATACTGTGATTTATTTATTGAATAAAAGTGATATTCTCTCACAGTGTGAAAGGATATCAAAATGATATTCTCTCACAGTGTGAAAGGATATCAAAGTAAGTTAAAAATAATTCCTGGCCTGTCATAAGATAGAGATAGTAACCAACCATCTTGATAGAGCTAAACCTGCAAATTTCTTCCCAAAAATGTTGCTAAAATCCATGCTATGTAATGTCTTGAATCGCACAACTGGTAAACTATAACGTCTCAACCGCTCAACTATGACGTCAAGCCTATGACACTGTGTTAAGAAAAGACAGAGGCAAAGGGAAAATAAAAAAAAATGTAATAAACAGAAAATTCAACGTTTTGTAGATGAATATGGAATTTATTTCACTCGTGAGACAGGATTTTTTGATATTTTCACTCGTGCTTCGCACTCGTGAAAATATCAAAAAATCCTGTCCCACTCGTGAAATAAATTCCATATTCATCTACAAAACATTGAATATCCTCTATTTATTGTTTATCAGTTGAACATTTTTCTTTTTCAGGGGAATCATAAACCTGAACAATGTGACCTACATTATACATCCACTGAAGGGGGATCTGGGGGTAAGATTTGTTTGTAATGTCAGTAAGGCAGATATATGTTTGAAAGAAGACTTTAGGGTAAGAATTGTCTGAGTGAAGAACTATATAAATTATAATCTGTTCCAGCCCAGCTTATATACATGTATTACTTTGGTAACTATTTAACAAAGAGAGGTTTAGAGAGACATAATAGATACAATTTTTTTTTTATATATTTGTTGAAAGAGTAGTATAAAGACAATGTAAATATTTTATTTATTTAATTAAAAAAGGGTTTAATAGAGTCAGTGTTTATGTTTGATTTACAGAGCTATTGAATATTATAGAGACAATGTTTACATTTGATAAGAAATACATAGAGATTAATATTAAAGAGATAATATTTATATTAGGTGAACAGAGAATATAGAGATATTATAGAGATTTAATGTTTATATTTGATTGACAGAGATACAGAATTATATAGAGATGTGTGTAGAGAGTCAGTGTTTTGTGTTTGATTGACAGAGACATTGAGTTATATAGAGCTAAATATAGAGACACTGTTTACACTTGATTGACAGAGATAGAGAGATAAATATAGAGACATTGTTTTGTGGTTGGTTGACAGGAACATTGAGTTATATAGTGTTAAATATAGAGACATTGTTTACACTTGATTGACAGAGATAGAGAGATAAATATAGAGACATTGTTTTGTGTTTGATTGACTGACAAAGATAAAGAGCTATATAGAGTTAAATATAGAGACATTGTTTACACTTGATTGACAGAGATAGAGAGATAAATATAGAGACATTGTTTTGTGTTTGATTGACAGAGACATTGAGTTATATAGAGTTGAATATAGAGACATTGTTTACACTTGATTGACAGAGATAAAGAGATTAATATAGAGACATTGTTTTGTGTTTGATTGACAGAGACATTGAGTTATATGGAGTTGAATATAGAGACATTGTTTACACTTGATTGACAGAGATAGAGAGATTAATATAGAGACAATGTTTTGTGTTTGATTGACAGAGACATTGAGTTATATAGAGTTGAATATAGAGACATTGTTTACACTTGATTGACAGAGATAGAGAGATAAATATAGAGACTTTGTTTTGTGTTTGATTGACAGAGACATTGAGTTATATAGAGTTAAATATAGAGGCATTGTTTACACTTGATTGACAGAGATATAGAGATAAAAATAGAGACTTTGTTTTGTGTTTGATTGACAGAGACATTGAGTTATATAGAGTTAAATATAGAGACATTGTTTACACTTGATTGACAGGGACATTGAGTTATATAGAGTTAAATATAGAGACATTGTTTACACTTGATTGACAGAGATAGAGAGATAAAAATAGAGACATTGTTTACACTTGATTGACAGAGATAGAGAGATAAATGTAGAGACATTGTCAAACTTTACATTTGTTTGACAGAGGTATTGAGACATATAGAGATATGTATAGAGACAGTTTTTTTTTATATATATTTTATTGACAGAGATGTATAGAGTTTTATAGAGATGAATATAGAGGCAGTGTTTTGTATATGATTGTCAGAGAAATAGAGATATTTAGAGATATGTATACAGACAGTGTTTACATTTGATTGATAGAGATAAAGAATGTTTTGTGTTTGATTGACAGATGAGACACCCACACCTTGTCTTTAAAGCTTCTAGAGAAATCCTAGAGAGCTGTGGTGAGTACTTTTGCACTAAGCAGGGCTTTCAAAGAGATTAGGAACAGGGGTTACTTTAACAAAATTAGGAGGTACCTTGTGGAAGCCATTTTAATTAAATATGTTATAGAATTTTTCTCCATCTAATATTTTGGCTGGTACTATCATAATTTTAATGGGATAAAAGTACCAGATACTGGCAGATTTTGTATTTACTGATTAAGATCAAGTAAACATTAACTTTAAATGCTGGTAAATATTTTATAGTAGTTTACTGTCTTTTCTAACACAGGAAATGACTTTAACATTAACTTTAAACACTGGTAAACATTTGATAGATTGAAGCTTACTGTCTTTTTAACATGTTTAACACAGGGAATGACTTTGGGCAGTGGAAGCCATTTGATCAGCTTCATCCAGCAGAGTTCAGACAAAGAGTCAGCTATCTCAGGGCTGTACAGGTAAACTTGTGTGTATAGAGTCAGTTATCTCAGGGCTGTACAGGTAAACTTGTGTGTATAGAGTCAGCTATCTCAGGGCTGTACAGGTAAACTTGTGTGTATATAGAAAAGAGAGGGAGGATGTGGGTAAGGGTGTGGATGAGGAAAAGAAAGGGTAAGAGCAGGTTACTGGTGTGTGTATGTGTATAAAGAAGGTGGGGTGGGGTGGTAAAGGAGGGGAAAAGGAAAAATGGATATACAGGTTGTGTAAAGAGTGCAGGGTGGGGGCAAAGCAGGTAGACAGGAGGGGTAGAAGATGGGAGGGTCAGCTGCCTCGGGGCATTGAATGTATGGAGTGTGTGTACAAGGGGAGGGTTCTGGTGTTTTTAAATAAGGAATTCGGGGCAGTGCAGTTAGACAATGTGACTGTGAGATGGGAGAGGAGTTATACTGGAAATCACTTTTTATTTGCAAGAACTTTATTTTCACATAATTATGTGCGAGTCTGTCTGCAAGCAAAATTTTATTCTTGTGTATATTTGTATTGTAAAGGATTATATACAACAGAAACCACAGCTCAGGAAAATTTTGTTGCTAATAAATACCACATAGCTAACTCATGAAAAGTAATGTGTCGCGAAAATATAGTGATCTACAGTAAGTAAAAATGAGAGAACGATGGGTGTACAGAATTGGAAAGCTTGAGTGATTGGGAGGGAGGGGAGGGGGATACTGTATAATTTAGAGTGTGATTGATCAAGGACTTGGCTATCATCTGAATGGTTTGTTGAAATCATTGATTGCTGAAATAAACCATTTTTCTGTTTAAGTCCAGGGACATTAAAAGACTAGTTCACGTGGACCTTTTACCAATATCTTAATACTGAGGACTTTTACCAAAATCTTAATACTGAGGACATTTACCAATATCTTAATACTGAGGACATTTACCAATATCTTAATACTGAGGACATTTACCAAAATCTTAATACTGAGGACTTTTACCAAAATCTTAATACTGAGGACTTTTACCAAAATCTTAATACTGAGGACTTTTACCAATATCTTAATACTGAGGACTTTTACCAATATCTTAATACTGAGGACTTTTACCAATATCTTAATACTGAGGACTTTTACCAAAATCTTAATACTGAGGACATTTACCAAAATCTTAATACTGAGGACTTTTACCAAAATCTTAATACTGAGGACATTTACCAAAATCTTAATACTGAGGACTTTTACCAATATCTTAATACTGAGGACTTTTACCAAAATTAATACTGAGGACTTTTATAGGAGACGAAAGATGGAGATCTCTTCTGTCCATTTATGTTTAAAATTGGACATACAAAAATAATTTATTAAACAGTCTATAGGCAGTGGCTATTTTGTGCATAAGTGACCTAAGCTCTTTGTGCTTTGACAGGCTTCTAACCCAGACCAGAAGAAAAAGGAAAGAACCATCAAGCTGGGGTTGATACTGGACAATAAATCCGTAAGTGTATAGCAGATGCTTTCTAGGAGTAAAAATCTAGATATTCATACAATATATCTGTTATTGAATCAGATTCATTTGTGGTTATATGTATGAAGAGCCTTGGTGATACATTACCATATACAGGGTTATTTTCGCCCCTTTCACTCTTTCAAACAATTTCACCCCGTTTTAAATTCACCCAGTCACAATAATGTTTAACATATTATGCTGTGTTTATTTTAATTCACTACGTTTTAAATTTGCCTACTTGTGAATAGGGTAAAGGGGGCGAAAGTAAAATAGGAGTGAAAATTTCCCTATATACAGTATATCCATGTTTTTGTATGTTTGTTAAGTTCATTGTTTTGCTTTGTAGATAAATAAATTGAACCTTTCACTGACAGGAACCATTGATTATGCCTTACAGACAGTGAATGCTGTAGATTTGGTAAGTAAAGGTCTACCGGTATATATAATATATATAGATATCTGATATAGAGAGAGATATCGGTATATATAATATATATAGATATCTGATATAGAGAGAGATATAGATATCTGATATAGATATATAGGGTGCCTTACAGACAGTAAACGCTGTGGATCTGGTAGGTAAAGGTCTACCGGTATATATAATGTAATATAGATATCTGATATAGAAAGAGATATAGATATCTGATATAGAGAGAGATATAGATATATATATAGATATCTGATATAGAGGGAGATATAGATATCTGATATAGAGAGAGAGATAGATATCTGATATAGAGAGAGATATAGATATATATATAGATATCTGATATAGAGGGAGATATAGATATATATAGATATCTGATATAGAGAGAGATATAGATATCTGATATAGATATATTGGGTGCCTTACAGACAGTAAACGCTGTGGATCTGGTAGGTAAAGGCCTATGTACAATTAGGCTATTTTACGTCAATAATTTGCAAATATGTCATAGAAAGAAAACAATTTCTTTGTGTCAGACCTTGGTGTCTCTGCCCCCCCCCCCCCCATTAATTTCACAGGTTGTCTCAAAATTCTTTCTTTGTATATGATTGTCATTGTAGATCTTAATGTGCTATAAGGTTTTTGAAACACTGATCTCTGTCTTATGGTAGTATTACGATAGGTTAGGGGCCCTAATACAGGTAACTCTCGATACCTCGAAGTCCGCGGGACCGAGGAAAAACTTCGAGAGATCAAGAGTTCGAGTTTTCAAGAGTCCGGAATTTTCCAGGTTTGTTGACAGGTTTTAAAATTAGTCTTACCGGATGTAATGATTTTCATGCAGCGCTAACCTTTTACACGTGGTTTATATAAAACAACGATATTTTTTCGTAATTTAGATGAATATTTCATTAAACTGAGTAAAGCAAAATATGTAAATCATTTCATGTATATTTATTTATTCTTTGTAATATGGACTTCATACTACGCATTCGTTACATGGAAACGACATTTTACCGCGTCGCATACATACATGTAGCATTGACTAGCATTAACATGATCATTGAACGGAGTTCTGTAAGTATTTGTCCAACAATAGTCATCATATTGACATTGAGGCTGTTAATGCTTTTTCATATTTCGTTTAACTTTGACACTGACTCGAAATAAAAATTAAATTAGTGTTTCGTCTTGTAATCAATTACTACTTTTCACTGACATTCCGTCTCTGAATCATCGTAAGACAGTCGATGATAATTATTTTAATAGCATATAGGCAAAAATGATTAATTATAAATCAATTATCACCTTGCAGCATAAGTGTCACCTGAATAAACATCCCGTTCCTCGAGACCCACGTCTTCTGCCTGGGGCCATTTAAATGTCCAGGTAAAGGTGCCAATTATATAACCTTGTATACACATAGCCACTTCGAGCTATCGAGGGTAAAATCTAATAGAATATGCATAGCGGGACTGAATTTTGACTTCGAGGGATCAAGGGTTTCGAGAGATCAAGAGTTTGAGAAATCAAGAGTAAATTTGCTTAGTTATATAGGGGAAAAATTCGGGACCGGAGACTCACTTCGAGCGATCAAGAACTTCGAGAGATCGAAGTTCGAGCCATCAAGAGTTACCTGTATTTAGTCAGTTTTACTTTATAATTTCAGTATTACAATAGGTTAGGGGTCCTAATATTTAGTCAGTTTTACTTTATAATTTCCGTATTACAGCAGTTTAGAGGTCTTGATGTTTAGATAATTTTACCTTCTATTTTCAGTATTATAGCACATTAGGGGTCCGAATGTCTCTAGTTTACTTAGAACTCTGGAATCGTGGGAACTTGGTGACTGTATCATCCAACCTACGAGAGAATTTAAAGCGCCTGTTGCAGTATAAGTCCTCATCTCTAGAAGACAAACCCCACACACTGCTACATCTTGTTACGTAAGTCATCATTTCATTTAGAATCAATCCTTTCAAAGACATTATCAGTAGAATTCTTTACTTCTAGCAGCATAAGTCTATTATATTTCACTCCTGCTTACTGAGAAGTGGATTAAGGGCCCTCTGTACACCAATGAAAAATGTCTTTGGGACTCTGAGGAAATTATATCATTTAAAGATGTAAACAAGGGGTTTATCTATTTCATTTTCAACAAAGGGTACATGTCATCATGGTCACAAACCCAAAGAAAAAATTTTCGAAGACAATGAAGTGTGTGGGAAATGAAATCACTGTTGCTTAATTAAATTGGAAATATGCATGCAAATAAAGAGTTCAATTAATTCATCTAGGCCAAATAAAATGTTTAGAGTGCTTGAATTGATTACAGATTGAGTAATAAATTATTTCCATTTTAGTTCTAAGGGCAGATCACTCTAACTACATAAAAATACCAGGGAATTAGAACTCTTGAAGTGTGCAGTGCATAGAGGGTTCTTCGGGAGCTTTGGTTTACCAATTCTATAGAAATGTTGTAATTTTGAAATCAGATGTAACCAGCATTGATATATCATTTAAATTAAATTAAATTGTAGTCTTCACCACTGTGATTGGTCGAGGATGCATATTGATTTTGATTCATAAATGAGTAAATGTTCAATTTTATTTTATTTTCAAGTGGAGAGAGTCTACAGAACAACTCAATGGGGATGTCTGTTCCAGACTCTGTGTGTACTGATAGGGCAGTCGGGATCAGTAAGGTAATATAGTCATGTCTGTACCAGACTCTGTGTGTACTGATAGGACAGTCGGGATCAGTAAGGTAATATAGTCATGTCTGTACCAGACTGTGTGTGTACTGATAGGGCAGTAAGGTAATATAGTAATGTCTGTACCAGACTCTGTGTGTGTACTGATAGGGCAGTCAGGATCAGTAAGGTAATATAGTAAATAAATAATGTCTGTACCAGACTCTGTGTGTACTGATAGGGCAGTCGGGATCAGTAAGGTAATATAGTCATGTTTGTACCAGACTCTGTACTGACAGAGCAGTTGGGATCGGTAAGGTAATATAGTAATGTCTGTACCAGACTCTGTGTGTACTGATATGGCAGTCGGGATCAGTAAGGTAATATAGTCATGTTTGTACCAGACTCTGTGTGTACTGATAGGGCAGTCGGGATCAGTAAGGTAATATAGTCATGTCTGTACCAGACTCTGTGTGTACTGATAGGACAGTCGGGATCAGTAAGGTTATATAGTCATGTCTGTACCAGACCGTGTGTGTACTGATAGGGCAGTCGGGATCAGTAAGGTAATATAGTAATGTCTGTACCAGACTCTGTGTGTACTGATAGGGCAGTCGGGATCAGTAAGGTAATATAGTAATGTCTGTACCAGACTCTGTGTGTACTGATAGGGCAGTCAGGATCAGTAAGGTAACATAGTAATGTCTGTACCAGACTCTGTGTGTACTGACAGAGCAGTCGGGATCAGTAAGGTAATACAGTAATGTCTGTACCAGACTCTGTGTGCACTGATAGGGCAGTCGGGATCAGCAAGGTAAAATTAAGACTGGGTTTGTATTTATAGGTTTTCTGGAATGAGGTAATACTGCATTTTGGTTTGTATTTATAAAGGTTCTGGCTTTAACAAGGTGATTGTTGACTTGACTTGTGTTGACAAGGCTATAGGGATTACAGTGTAAATTTAGACCAATTTCTTTGAAGACCACAAATTGAAAATAATTCAGTTTCCCTAGTTCCTGTGACATAAAGCTTAAATCATTTGTAAACATTTTTGTTTTACATAATCTGTGATTTTCAATCCTTGATTCATTCACAGTTGTTCTGTTTCCAGAATCCCTCCTTCACGGAGCCCCAGAAATTGGCCTCTGTTCTTTCTCACATGATTGGACACAATTTAGGACTCAAGCATGATGAAGATGGTGAGTTAGTCTTGGTCTCGTATACTCTTGTCATTCTTTCTAGGTAAAAGTAGGTATAAGTAATTATTAATGAAGTGACCATGCCTGCTCAGAGATAGTCAGTTTCTCATGTTTGCATCTTTTGAATGATTTCATCTTCTAATCCAACATCTATTAGAAAAATGTAAGGAATCTGAATTTAAATGATGAAATATTGAAAATTTCTCTTCTGTTAACCTGGACAAAACAGTATAAACCAAATTTGAGATAGCAAAAGTAAAAAAAAAATTAAATTGTATTTTTATTTGACATCAGTCAGTGGACGATTCATTTATCACCAAGGTAACCTTCATTCAGTCATGGCTTTTTGTGTCCCTGGTGTTCTATTATTTTGATATGTGAGCTTTCAGTTTTTGCATGGATTTTACATTGTAAAATTTACACATATACTAGCTGAATGTTTATAAATTAGTTTAATTTTCTGTCTTCAGCAAAAAAAAAAGTTTTTTGGTTGGTTGCAGTACCCATAAAGAACTATGGATACACAGTCATTCTATGAATGATAGGAATTCAATACATTTTATTTGCAGTGAGATCAGAAACTCAGCTCAAAGTTTTCCGTCTCTGAATGAAATTAAATATCTGAATTATATTAAGAATCAATATTTTTGGTTTGTGGGGACTGTAATCGGATATTGTATGTTCATTTTGGATAGTAATTGTGGGTCTTTTGAGAACTATATCTGCCTGAGATTCAATATATTTAGAAAGTCTCTGTGGAAATTGTAATCCCATATTTATTCATTGGATAGATGTTTGGGAAGATTTCTCTCCAGGATTTGCCAAGATCGGGCAAGTCGAGTTTTAGACTTCAGCCCATGAAAGAAAATATTGACCCTTCTCTTAAGTATTTTTGTTTGGTAGGTCTGTAAAGACTATTGTCTATCATTATTTTGGATGGAAAAGTTTGTAGGATCTAAGATCATTAGATATTTTTGGTAAAAATCTTTGGAAATGTAGTTTTCAGAGAATGTGTATTATTGATAGAGGGCCTAGCTAAAGGGGACAAAAATTTTCAAATTGCTGAAGAAATTCATGTTGATTCTGATTGGAAAATACCATTTTAAGTAAATTTGCTCCGTGTTTTTCTTGTGGTATTTTAGGAGAACAGTGGTTACCTTGTAAACCACATTTTTGTTATATACCCAACTGTTTGTCAATCAGTTTAACTGTTGAATTTATGCAATCACGTGACGGTGTGATCTGACGTTCCGGATCACCACACTGTGGTTTTCTGAATCCATATAACCCCTCTCTGAAACTGATGACGTAGTACACAGATAAATGACGTTTCTGTTCTCTCGCATCAAAAAGTTCCTTGACAAAATGGTTTGTTTGATGGATAAAAGTTATGTAATTGATCCAAAATGTTTTCTTTTATTGTATTTCGTTAGTTGTAAAGGGGTATATAATAAATTTATCATTATAACAGTAACTTGATCTGAAGAGCCGTATCAAGTCTCATTGACAGGCGCAGATCATCAGATCAAACTTGACGCTTCGTGTCTCGTTTTATCTGATGATCCATGCCAGTCAACTTCACGTGATATGGCTCTTCGGATCAAATTACTGTTATAATAATATATATGTATCAGAGGGCCTTGTAAAAGTGCCACATAAAAAATCTTTATCACCTTTTCCATGCATTTTACAATTTGTTTTATTAATTTTCATGTGTTCAATTCACCTCTGTCTGTCACCCATGGTGACCAGTCAACATTTTTAACCAGCCGACAAGCTTTGTTTTACTTATGCACTTTGATGAGATGCAGCATAACATATGACCCTTATTGTTGTCATGGAGATTGTTTCAGTCTGCAAAGTCTTAATCCTAGACCCACAATGTTGTCAGTATATGAAGATTTGCTTAATCCATCAAAGCCTTTCTGAGTTCTTGTGATTTAATCTATGTGCTGCATGCACTGTCATATTTTTCTAAAAATCATCACATTTCTTATCTATTATTGTTCTTAATGATTAATGGTTATTTTTAGAATTAATTATTAATTATGTGGATATTTGACACGACAGGTGGCTGTTCCTGTGAAGATGAATTTGGCTGTATAATGTCTACACATGTTCTGTAAGTATATAATACATAATATATACAGTCAAACTTCATTATTTGAATGTGATGGAACTGAGATTAGTCTTTGACATATTCCTGAGAATTCGAGATTATGTTGTTAAAAATGTGTTTGACATATACCTGAGAAGTTTACACAATAGTCATTTTCTTTTAGTATACAAAGTTTACACATATTTTGACAGATGAGTTTACAATGTTTACACATACTCTACTGAAAAAACGTCAAATTACAGACATAAACATTGTACATCAGAATGGTGTAAACACCTCGCAATGTTTACTCGTTTTGTTAGTGTACAGTGTCTACTATGTTCTGTGAACATACAATCTCTACACATGTTCTGTGAACATACAATCTCTACACATGTTCTGTGAACATACAATCTCTACACATGTTCTGTGATAGTTTCTCAGTCATTCTGTGCTTAAATACCATTAAGTTCTTGAAGCTGTGTACAAAGAACCAAGAGTTAATAAGTACGAAAAGTTAACGAAGGAAGTAAATGACCTGTCTGTTTACAGGACAAAAACAGGACTCCAGGCTCGTAAGTTTTCCTCCTGTAGTCGTGAAGATCTGGAGGTGGCTCTGAGTGTAGACGTGGCTTCTTGTCTGGATACTCAGCCAGAGAAAGAGGTAAAAAAAATACCTAATTAACAGATACATATAATTAGATGTAATTAACAGATACAGTGAATTAAGATGAGATTTAATTAATAGATACAGTTTATTAAGATGAGATTAAATTAACAGATACAGTTAATTAAGATGAGATTTAATCATGTTAATAATTAACAAATAATGTTAATTATAAAGAGACACTTCATTAGCAGGTACAGTTAGTTAAGATGAGAGTTAATTAGCAGATACGGTTAATTTAAATGAAAATATTCACAGAAAATTGAAATATATTATTATTATTTTTTATTTTTCAGGAGACATTTAAACAGAAGTGTGGAAACCTGATTGTAGAGAGAGGTGAAGAATGTGACTGTGGGTCAGCAGAGGTCAGTAGGTCAAAGGTCATAAGGTCATCTGTATGTCAAAGTCAAAGATTCAATTGTTATCAGTGTGCATGTCAAGGTTAAAGAAAATTAAAGGACTTTATGTGAATTGTGTTTGATTTAATCTAGGTTTTTTTTGTTTCCTTGCTTAATAAAGTTTTTCATGTTTTAGTTGAGAAGTCAAAAAGTAGCTTTGATTTTCTTTTGCTAAGATTTTTGGTTGATGAATATCTACACACAACCTGCTAGTAAACTCTCACAGTTATTAATTTTGCATTTTACTGTTTTTGTTGTTGTTGTTTTCTGTAGCAATGTCACATGACAGACCCTTGTTGTGATCCAGACACTTGTTTCCTCAAATCCTGGGCCCAGTGTAAAAGTGGAACCTGCTGTCACAACTGTACAGTAAGTTAGGACAGTGCAAAATTAGAACCATTTGCCACAATTGTACATTAAGGCAATGTTAAGGAGGAACCTATTGTCATATTGTATCTGAATGGCAAACTAAGTGTAATTATAGTCAAACCTGTTGTAATGACTGCACAAGACGACAGAAATAGCATAAAAGTGCAACATAATGTCACTGCTAAAGTAAACTTTGCATACTTTTTAGCTCACCTGAGCTGAAGGCTCAAGTGAGCTTTTCTGATCGAAATTTGTCCGTTGTCTGTCGTCGTCATTGGCGTTGTTGTTGGCATTGTCGTAAACTTTTCACATTTTCATCTTCTTCTCCAGAACTACTGGGCCAATTTCAACCAAACTTGCCACAAAGCATCCATGGGTGAAGGGGATTCAAGTTTGTTCAAATGAAGGGCCGCGCCCTCTTTCAAGGGGAGATAATAGAGAATTTGTGAAAAATTAGTAGCATCTTTTGAAAATCTTCTTCTCAAGAACCACAGGGCCAGGAAAGATGAAACTCATGTGGAAGCATCCTTAGCTAACCTAGATTCAAGTTTGTTCAAATCATGACCCCCGGGGGTAGGGCGGGGCCACAATGGAGGATCAAAGTTTTACAAAGAAATATTAATGAAAAACCTTTAAAAATCTTCTTCTCAAGAACAGCAAAACCATGATGAGTCATATTTTTTTTGGAAGCATCCTCAGGAATTGTAGATTTAAGTTTGTTCAAATCATGACCCCCGGGGGTAGGGCGGGGCCACAATGGAGGATCAAAGTTTTACATAGAAATATTAACGAAAAACCTTTAAAAATCTTCTTCTCAAGAACAGCAAAACCATGATGAGTCATATTTATATGGAAGCATCCTCAGGAAGTGTAGATTTAAGTTTGTTCAAATCATGACCCCCGGGGGTAGGATGGAGCCACAATGGATGATCAAGGTTTTACTTAGAAATATAAAGGAAAAATCTTTAAAAATCTTCTTCTCAAGAACAGCAAAGCCATGATGAGTCATATTTATATGGAAGCATCCTCAAGAAATGTAGATTCATATTTGTTCAAATCATGACGCCCGGGGGTAGGGCGGGGCCACAGTGGACTTAGTATCAAAGTTTTACATTGAAAAATTTAGGAAAAATCTTTAAAAAATCTTCTTCTCAGGAAGAGGAAAGCCCTGATTGGTCATTATATGGAAGCATCATCAGGTAGTGTATATTCAAATTTATTCAAATTATGACCCACGGGGGAAGGATGGGGCCACAATGGAGGATCAAAGTTTTACATAGAAATATACAGGAAAAATTTTTCAAAATCTTCTCAAGAACAGCAAAGCCCTGATTGATCATATTTATGTGGAGGCATCCTCAGATAGTGTAGATTGTATTTTGTTCAAATCATGACCCCTGGGGGGTAGGGTCGGGCCACAATGGAGGATCAAAGTCTTAAATAGAAATGTATAGGAAAATATCTTCTTCTGAAGAACTGCAAAGCCATGATAAGTCATTTTGATATGGAAGCATCCTCAGGTATAGTGTAAATTCAATTTTGTTCAAATGATGACCCCCGGGGTTAGGGTGGGGCCCAATGGGGGATTGAAAATTTTACATAGGAACATATTGGAAAGTATTTTCTTATCAAGAACTGAAAATCATGTTTAGTCATTTTGATATGGAAGCATCCTCAGGTAGTGTAAAATTCAATTTTGTTCGGATGATGATCCCTGGGGCAGTGGTGTATCCAGGAATTTTGTAAAGGGGGGGGGCAGTAGGGGGCATTGGGTCTGGGGCTGCATTGAAGCCCCCAGTGGGTCCGGGAAGCTGATGAATTCTTACAAAGAAGAGATGTTTTTTCCTTGATTTTAGGATAATGGACATATAAGTTCTACATAAAAAAATTAAAACGGGGGGCGCACGCCCGGCATGCCGGCCCTGGATCCGCCTTTGCAGGGGTAGGGTGGGGCCCAATAGGGGATCGAAAGTTTTACATAAGAACATATAGAAAAAATATTTCTTCTCAAGAACAGAAAAACTATGTCATATTGATATGGAAGCATCCTCAGGTAGTGTAGATTCAAGTTTGTTCAAATGATGATCCCTGGGATAGGGAGGAGCCACAATTGGGGATCAAATTTTTACAAAGGAATATATGGGAAAATTTTTTAAAAATCTTTTCAAGCACAACAAAGCCATTTGTTAAATTGACATGGAAGGTACCGGTAGTTTAAAATTCAAGCCCCCCCCTCCCCACCCAAGGTAATCTTTTCAATACTGAACTGATTTGTACTTTTGCCTAGCCAATGTGCTCAGGTGAGTGATGTGGCCCATGGGCCTCTTGTTTTTTTTACTTTCAGTTTTTGCCAAGTCATTATGTTTGTCGGGACCAGTCCACAGATTGTGATGTCCCAGAGATGTGTCCTGGAAACAGTGGGGAGGTAGTGTATAGTGTGATGGGGTTAGGGTTGCATGGGGAGGGTGAATGATAACCCAGAGATGTGTCCGGGAAATAGCGGGGAGGCACATGACTGTATAGTTGTGATTGGGTTAGGGTTGTACTGGGAGGGTGAATGATGTCCAAGTAAGGGCGGTGGGGTTGGAGGGGTACATGTATATTGTGATAAGGTGGTATTGGGAGGGTTGGTGATGTCCCAGTACAAGGGGGGGAGGAGGGGGAAGGGCATCTTTTAGGCATCTGTATATTTTGCTGTTTTCTGATAATTTTATTCATTTATTAACAAATCAATGTTGATTACCTTCGTCATTAACATTTATATAATCTTTATTTAAGTGCCCAGTCAATAACTATGTTGCCGATGGTTACCCATGTTCCAACAACACTGGGTACTGCATCAGTGGAATCTGCCCCACCCTCAGGGAACAGTGTCAGTATATCTGGGGGAAGGATTCATCGGGAGCGGACCTGCAATGCTTCGAGAAGTTTAACCCCACAGGGAATTTTAATGGTCACTGTGGCAGGAATGAAGAGACAGGATGGTTCTCCAAATGTCTGCCAGAGTATGTACATAATAAAGTCAAATCATTATTAATATAGACTGTTAGATTATGTGTAATGAACATTTACACCTGAAAGTGGTTTTAGGTGTTAAATTATCATCAATCCAGGTTAAAATAACGCATGTAAAATGTTCGTATTAGAATAAACTATTTTGGAAAACTTCAATACCCCTTATATGTATTTTATTGTTTTCATAATAGTATCAACTGTGTTCTTTAAGGCCAAGATTTGGGCAATGTATAGTGATCAGTCAAATTAAATTGTGATGTCATTAGTAGGAACAGTTCAGTGGCCTGTTAAACATATTAATTTTGATCAGGAACAACCAGTGTGGTTTGTTAATTTACTATTTTCATTACATTGTTTTGTAATATCATTACATTGTTTTGTAATATCATTACATTGTATTGTAATATCATTACACTATGATGTCATTACAGGAATATCCAGTGTGGTTTGTTACATTACTATAGTATTGTAATATCATTACATAGCATTGTAATATCATTACATTGTATTATAATATCATTACATAGTATTGTAATATCATTACATTGTATTGTAATATCATTACATAGTATTGTTATATCATTACACTATGATGTCATTACAGGAACATCCAGTGTGGTTTGTTACATTACTATAGAATTGTAATATCATTACATAGTATTGTAATATCATTACATTGTATTGTAATATCTTTACATTGTATTGTAATACCATTACATTATGATGTCATTACAGGAACATTCAGTGTGGTTTGTTACATTGTGAAGGAGGACATAAACTTCCTCTTCTGAACTTTGACAAAAGTTTCTCCAAAACAACCGTCTTCAGCAACGGCAAGGAGTATGACTGCAAGTAAGTGTCAGAATTAAAGGAAAATAATGATTGTACAGTCTGTCAAGTTATTTACACACAAACAACAATACAGAATAAAGATTTCATATAGTTATATTGCTTACAGAATATCTTTAGAATGAAGATTTGATACACTTAGTAATATAAAGTGCATATAAAACAAACAGAAATATTTTTTTAAGTTTTGGGGATATTCTTTCATCTTTAGAGCTATTTATGGACCAGCTGTGATATTTTTAACTTTTGGGGATATTCTTTCATCTTTAGGGCTATTTATGGACCAGCTGTGATATTTTTAACTTTTGGAGATATTCCTGTATCTTTAGGGCTATTTATGGACCAGCTGTGATATTTTTAACTTTTGGGGATATTCCTGTATCTTTGGGGCCATTTATGGACCAGCTGTGTTATTTTTAACTTTTGGGGATATTCCTGTATCTTTAGGGCTATTTATGGACCGGCTATGAGATTTTTAACTTTTGGGGATATTCCTGTATCTTTAGGGCTATTTATGGACCAGCTGTGATATTTTTAACTTTTGGGGATATTCCTGTATCTTTGGGGCCATTTATGGACCAGCTGTGTTATTTTTAACTTTTGGGGATATTCCTGTATCTTTAGGGCTATTTATGGACCGGCTATGAGATTTTTAACTTTTGGGGATATTCCTGTATCTTTAGGGCTATTTATGGACCAGCTGTGATGTCATTGCCTCACTTTGGATTGGTACAGGAAGGTACGAAATGTGGGGAGGGCAAAGTTTGCCGCAACAAACAGTGTATCACCATGCCGACAGTTCCCAGCATGCTCTGTCCTGGATCTAAAGGGAATGTGGCTTGTTCTGGAAATGGGGTAAGGCAGGAATCGATTTTAATTAATTCTTCATCCTTCTTTTCACATGATGTCAAGATTAAATGCCATCATATTGGGATACTATAATATCACTGATTTTTCCAGGATTAAAGTTTTCTTGGTTTCCAGAAAAAAGTTTAAGTTTTTCAGGGTTGTTCCTAAGAATTGAAATTGCAGGGGCCATTAAAAGAGTAAAAGGGAGTCTGGGGTTCCTTCCCTAAGAGGGGTTTGATGGGGAATACCAGAATAATTGGTAAATTATGTCATTATAGTTTGGGAAATTCCCTGGTCCCTGGGTCTTAGGGACAACCTTGGTTTATGGGGATTTGATTTGAATTCATAGTTTGAGAAACATATTTTCTGTAGTTTGAAATGTTAACTTTTTGTGGAGGACATGAATTTGTGGGGTTGCTTCATACCACAAATATGACAGAAAATTAAATATGACAATTAGTGATTTTGCAGTACTGAGATAATGTTTTGTACATTTTAAGTGTATTAGGTCATCTTAATTTAATTATCTTAGAGTTCCTTATTAGGCCTGTACATGCTTATTTCTGTGTTCCTCTGTCCCAGGTTTGTACAAAGACTGGAGCCTGTTTCTGTCACCAAGGATGGACCGGTCAGAACTGCTCTTTACTGGCACCTATCACCATGACAACAGGAGTGTGGTCCCTGACCAGCACCGCTAAGACAACTGTGGCTCCCAGCACCACCACCACAATCACAGAGAAGCCCCCAGTGGTGGTTCCCTTGGTAACCCCTGATGATGCGGTCCCTGCTGTGTATGTTGGTAAGTCTATGTTTCCACAGGGATTAAAGATAACTGTTCCACATAAGCCATTGTCAGTTTTAGTCCCCTTTCATAAACTGTGAGTGTTGAAAAGTTGAGATAACTCTTCTATGTAAGCTTCTGGTAATTTTAGACATATATTCATTTCATTTACCATTGCTTTTGATGGCATCAGTTAAGGTAAAAATCTTCCACTAAGTGGCAAAGTATCTTCCTCGAAAATTATGAAATAGATGTCTTAAACTTCTCTAGTGTTACAGGAGTTTGAGCTCTAATTCTGCTTTGTATATAATTTTTTTTAACAGCAGAGGATGAAGGCCTAAGTACCCAGTGGTTGATGGTTATACTGGGAGGAGTTGTCCTCAGTCTCGTGTTGTTCCTTCTTTTAACCTTCCTCTGTTATAGGTATGTAATAAAAATGGGTAGAAATATTTAAGTACATCTAATTGTCACCAAGTCAGGTCACTTGAAAAGGTCAGTGCATATAGTCACTAGATAAAATCATTACATCATGTCATTTGGTAAGTTCATTATTCACATGAGAAGGTCACTGGATAAGGTCATGTGATAAGGTCACATGATAAGGTCATTACATCAGGTCACTTGTTGAGGTCAGATGATATACAACAAGCATTCTGAGAGTATTGCATTAGCAATACTAGTCCCCTACCGGCAAGTGTAATCTGGTTCCCGCTAAAAATTGAAAATGCCATAATTCCCTCAAAAATCAATGAAGCGGGGCGATGTGTGAACTTGATCTATAACTCATCAAGGTTAAGACATATACTAAAAATCAGCTCAATATCTGCAAGCGTTTAGAAAAAAATTGCGGAAAACCCTGAAAAATTGAAAAGGTCATAATTCCATCAAAAATCATTGAAGCGGAACAAAATGCAAACTCAATATGTAACTCATCAAGATACACTCACATACCAAAAATCAGCTCAATATCTGCAAGCGTTCAGAAAAAAAGTGCGGAAAACCAAGTGGGACAGACTGACAGACAGACAGAGGGACAGCTAGACAGACAGACGGACGACAGACTCAGAGGAAACCTATAGTCCCCTCCGGTTTCACCGGTAGGGGACTAATAACATAAATGTCAAGAACATGTTCATTGTTTACCCACAGAGGTAAAATGAAATAAATTCCCTGAAGCAATATATAAAAATATAGTAAAGATACATTAACTTTTAGTTAACTTAGAATTTTAATGACTCACCACACAAGTGTTTTTCTCATACTGTATATACATGATACATGTATATGTAATACCTTGATTACTGCTCTTTTAATTCTCAGGATCAAGCTTTTACCTACAGATTCCTGGACATTTTTTAAAAATAATTTTTGTATTTCTTTTTTTTAGTAAATCATTTTGATCCAAATTCAATCTCATTGACTTGTATACTGGAGTAATGAACCCTCAGGCTTCTGGAATTCATTGCGAGATGATTTATTGTAAAACTGTAAATCTTCTTTTTTCCACGGGGTCATAATTCTGGGCAATAAAATGTTCTCTTCAATCCATGGATAGAAATTTAGGCAGATTTCTAGATTTGCTATTGTACATTTTAAGTATGCTATGACAAATTTCTGGGTAGAATATGTGACTGTCTACATAGTGTAAATTAGGGATGGCAATCGATTACAGAATTGCTAATCGGTTAACCATAAGACGTTCCGACCGATTAACCGATTAATCGTATCAAAATACACATTTTCTTGACATTTCTTTTTCATGGAGCTTTACTCATTGTAAGATGTTAAAAACAATCTCTTTATCTTGATCAGGAAACTACATGTACATATATTTTATTTCAATTTCAATAGATAAGAAAAAATTATGAAAACCGTGAAACATGCCTGAGAAATCAGACATTGATAATTTTTTAGAGCAGATGTTACACATTCTGTATTGTCGCCATAATCAAAACTAAGTCTGAACTTTTACTTTTACTTACAATGTTTGTCTAATAATATAATTTGATGGATAACTGCAAAAGATAGACATAATAATTCAGAGTGCTCAACGGTGATTTATTTAACATCATTGAAGAATTACGGGACAGTCAGGGTAATGACATGTTGTTTGTACACTTATTAACACTTCACAAACTGACCAATTACCCTGCGATCTCAATCAGGAGAACAATAATTACCTCCAAATCAGCTTAAATAGATATGTGAAAATGCTAAATTATTAACGTTTATGTAGAAGTTTCCTTTTAAAAATGAAATGTAAGAAAATTTCGTTCAAATTTACATATATTTTAATTTTTTTTCCGACTAACCGATTACAGATTTTCTAACCGATTACCATCATTCTGACCGAGTAATCGGTTAACCAGTTGCAAATTGCCATCCCTAGTGTAAATTAATCCCACACAGAAAAAGTACGTCTGCAGTAACTAAATACATCAGTAACTCACTATCAGTTTATTGTCATTAATTAAGGAGGAAGACCCCAGTCAAACTGGGCGGAGCTAAGAAGGGTTTCTTTGGATTTAAAAAGAAGTTCAAGGGAGAGCACTCTGAAAACAAGACAAAGAACCTTAAATTTGGATCCATGCCTTCATACAAGTAAGACATCTTAGTAACTTTATTTGGGTTCTTGCTTGCCTACAAATAAATCATTGATGAATTTTTATATCCTTGCCCCTGTATTCTCAGATACGTGATTCATTTAGTTTATTGCTTATACCTGTATGTGCCTAGCAAATAGCTACATATAAAGTATATTGCTTTGGAACTAATTCATTTAATAAAAATTTTTTTTTTTTAAATTTACCATAAATTAATTTATGACTTTCCACTTTTGGGTGAAAAAAAATTGTCTCTTTTTTTTCTAAGTCTAAATGATAATGCAGAAAAGACGTCTTGGAAAAAAAATAAACAATTGTATGAATCTCTGTGGTTTTAATCAGGTCAGACGGATTCTTTGGTCGGAGGAAAAAGAAATCCTTGGCCAGTGAAGAGGAGAGTGATTTAGAATTACCTCCCCCTCCCATTATTGTGTGTGACCCGGACAGTGCGAGACCAGAACGTGGCATCCTCAAGAACCTCCAAGTGCGAGGCAGTTCTGATGAGCGACGGTCAAGCAGTTCCCAGACCGAGCGCTCTGAATCGACGTGTGACCACGACGACAGGGAAGCTTACGAAGAGGAAGACGACGCCGAGGCCACAGAGGTCAGGGACATTCTGAGTCGTCTCCATGCCAATGACCCCTATGACCCTGAGAAGTCCATGGAGATGTTGGATCAGTTGGCAGAGGAGACATCAAGCTTTGACTTTATCCTCCCCAACCCAGGACTAGGAAGTACCAGATCCGAGTCCCCTCGAAAGAATCAAACATATGATTTCCCAGTAAGTGGAGCCAAGAGGCCTACTTTGTGGAAGAACAGCCCCAAAGTCTCACCACCAAAGTCAAAGATTGTTCGTATGAATTTCAGTGAACTGATGCAGGAAATAGACAGGCACCGCACAGTGGAGTTATCTCCCTCTCCAGACGAACTCACCGTTCAAGTATCACCCACCACATCCGAAGAAATCAGGAGCTCTTCTACAGATGAGCGAGCATATAACACGGGTCAGAGTCCTCAGTCTGTAACCAGCGGCAGTACCCGAGACACATACCAGCCCTTCCCTCTCAGTCACTGGACCAAGCTTAGCTCCACCCCCCTGTACGACATCGACTCCTCTATGCCTAATATCCCACCACCAATGTCTCCTTTACATCTACGCAGCATCAACTTCTCCAACATAGGAGTGTTGAATCGAGACTTTAATGACACCCCGCTCGGCAGTCAGTTAGATGGCTGTTCAACTAATGGCACAGCTAACTCCCGTTGTGGATATGAGAAGAGCTCGGGGTATGGCAGTGAACACGATCCTGCTGAGAGGTTCAGCCTGGACGAGGCCTCGGGTCCAGGTTCTCGGGCCGCCTCTGCATCACCTCCAGCTTACAGTGCTGTGCTACGTAGCGGGCCTCACCAAATCAAATTACTTCCAGTTCGCCGACTTCACGAGGGTGGACTTGATGATCATCAGAGTCTTCAGCGTCTGCTACAGGAACTACCGAGGATTGACGCCGGGGCTTATGAACGTAGCCCCCTAGTCAACTCAGTACAGGAGGTCAGTAAAACAGGGGGAAGTGAGGGAAAATATATGAAGGAGGATGTGAACTTAACAAAGGAGGGAACACATGAAGGTAGCCCCCTCCTCACAAACTCTGATGTCTCCTATGTAGGTCAAAGTGACATCAGTGGGGGAATTAACATGGAGGAAAGCTTTCCTCTGATTGGCTACTCAGAAGACCTAGAGGAAAAACTAGGTCACCTCATCCAGAAAGAGACACTGGATATGGACACGGGATTACAGCATTGTGACAATCAGAAAGACTCAGATTCTCACCAGAAGGTGAAATCAAATGACCTTCAAGGCCAGATCAATGACCTTGACCTAGATAGTGCTCCCTGCATTGACTGCAGTCTAGAGTCAATTCCTCACACAATGAAACAGTGCAGAAAGGTCACAAGAGTTAAGGATGGAAAAAGACCAGATACTGTAAAGAACGACCCTACAGAATCTGTTACCATGACAACACAAATGTTACCTGTTTAGAAACGGAATGTTTAAGATTGACTGATTTTTGTGTTTTGTATTATTTGGATCTCATTTTTAATTTATTTTACATGTATGTGTTTTGTTTTTTATGTTGATCGACTGTTTATTTTTATTAGATCTGATATTTTTCATCAGATAGTTTATATTGCGTAGTTTGTTTTTGTCAGAATAGTGGACTTGTATTTGATAGATTTATGTAGAAAAATTTAATGCTAGTGGTTGTGAGACCAAATTTACTGTTGAATATTTTATTTTCATTAAAATTGTATGATTTTTAAGGTTGTTTGACCCCTGTTTTTTACGAAATTTTTTATCTTTTAAATATTTTAAGTTTGTGTGATGTTAAAGATCTGTGCAATATGTATACTACATTATAACATCAGCCTATATATATATATATATATATATATGTCATTGATCATTTTAACTAAATAGAACAGCTGATTTATTTACACATAGTTTACCTAAAAATATTTATAAGGGATTATTTATACTTATCCAAACTGTTCATATGTGTAATGGTTATTTTTTTGCAAACAAGTTAATATCTTGTGCTATTTACATTGGTGAAAAGTGTAGATAGGTTTAACCCTGTGTAACAGGTGCTTGCTATAGCTGTAGGAATCAATGTCTATTCTCTTTTTAAGTGTAAGAAAAGGTTGTACAGCCAGAAAATGCTTCATATATATCATGACTTATTTTAATTGTAATTAGCAATCATCAGTCAATAGAGAATTATCAGCTATTTATGTTAAAAAATCACTTATCATCTCTGTTTATCATCTATTTATCATCACTTCATTGAATATTAACTATTTACCTTTATACCTCCATGATCATCTCATGTGGCATTAATTCATGTCTGTATTGTCATGTGACATTAATACATGTCTGTATCATCATGTGACATTGATATATGTCTGTATCATCATGTGACATTGATATATGTCTGTATCATCATGTGACAATGATTCGTGTCTTATATATCATCTGTAAATATCTGTATCATCATATGGCATTGATTCATTCTGTAAATGTCTGTATCATTATGTTACATTAATTTATGTCTTGTCATTTATCATCACGTCTGTTCATCATGATACATTTATACACGTTGTCTGTAGATGTCTGTTCATGTATCATCTTTGGTTATTGATACATGCCTGTCTCATGTCATTTGTAAAGTTCTGTTTTATCACATTTCATTGATTCTTGCCTATATATCATCTGTAAAATTCTACATCATTGTGAGCCATTGATAATTGCTTCTATTTATCATTTGTAAAGTTCTGTATCATATCATGTCATTTGTATGTGCTTGTTGTATATCATCAGTAAAGATCATTGCTTGTCTCATTTGTAAATCTCTGTATCACCATGTTATTGAGACGCGTGTCATATATTGTTGTTGTTATACATTTGTTATAAGCTTTGTTTTAGGTTTAGTTTCTCTGAAGTACTTGTAGCTTTCACGACCTGTCTCTGTGTGGTGTTTTATTCAGGTGTATTTATAGAATAATAATATACAGTCTCTCTTTTTCCTTTTCATGATGTTTATTTCTACGAATCAGTGATCATCAGAACTCATGCTGTGGTAAAATGTCTATTACCTACTGTTTGTCTGGAACATTTTCTTTGATACTTCTCGTACAGTTTTGGTCCAATTTCAAAAAATCTTGGTACTAAAGAAGACTACAACAACAGACAGCATGATTTCTTTTATTGGATTTTGATTTTCTTAAATGGTGTTGCCATGGTTACTAAATATAGAAATTATTTTTTATTTGGTAATTTTTTTTACAGAATGTTTCGGTAAAACTTGGTACACTAGTAGACAAGACCAAACACACCATAAACTTCAGGATGCATCTTTTCTGTAAATGTTAAACTGAAAATAAATGTTTCCAGTACGGACTTAACCTTTCTCTTCCTGTATTATTAGTATACAAACCAGTAGAGGTACAGTCTCTTTAGAGACCTCTGGGTTTTATCTGCAACAGATTTTTATTATTTAAAAAATTAATCTTTTATCATAATAGTCTTCTTCCATTTTTCCAATACATTTTTACCTTAGGTTAGCATCATAAGAATAGGTCTCAGTGTGTGTTATTGTTACAAAAACCTCATCTAGATAGCTCACACCGACTTTTAATTACTGGATCTTTATGACCTCTTTATCATGTTTTGTGTGAGAGACTTTGGTGCTTAATTTGTGTTGCATGATAACTGTATATGTTTGTCTAATCAGAAATATCACCATGATCACAGTAGTATTTATTACATTAATACAGTGTATTAGATTAAGTGAAATATCATAATACAGTGTATTAGATAAAGTGAAATATCACAATACAGTGTATTAGATCACGTGAAATATTACAATACAGTGTATTTGATTAAGTGAATTATCACAATACAGTCTATTAGATTAAGTGAATTATCCAGAAGAGATAGAACCCCTATCAGATGAATTGTAAAAGGTCATCACCACACTTACGTTGTAGTATCACATTAATGTCGATTACATGTATTCAGTGGTAAGCTTGTTAGGCTGGTGGTGCTATTACAATAAGTGGAACCCTTATAACATGCTGGGAAAAAGTTACCACCTAATGTAAAGAATATTTCACTGTACATATATTGAAAAGAGATTCCTCTTAACGTGACATAGGTACCAATGTGATAGGACTATACTATCTAGTCTAATCAGATTTTCTTAGTTTACAATAGACCATTTCACTATAGATGATCTTTTCCGAATAAATATATCAAAGGATCAAAGGAAATATAAAGCTGTCTCAGTGCTGTATGTTACATTGTGTTGTTCTATTTTTAGCATTATGACATCAGTCTTAATTTGATTGGTTGATATTTTTAGAGGACGTTGTCTCTGATGTAGACCATGACAAACTAAGCTGAATTAAATTGTTTGGGAAAATTTTTTAAAATGATACAAATACTTATAAATCATGTAGGTAAAATACATCGTAGGACAGAGAAGTTGAAGTATAAAGTATCTGCTCAAAGTTTAAATAAACAACGTACCATAGCTCTATTGAGGGCTTTAGCTTTAAATGTGAAGAGAATTTTTATTTCATTCTCTGTCATCAAACTTTCTTTATAACTGATAAAAGAATAGAGTAGTTTGGCTATGAATACCCATTTGTTGTACATATATCTAATTATATTATTAAGCTGTGTAATTATTTGCCTTATGATATGTGTGTCTGGGTGATAGAACTATTAGAGTTACTGAGTACCACAGCCTTTTGTACTTTATTACCACGAGCACGGAATCACACTGTAACACTCTGATGCTGAGATCAATAAACTTGCCAAATTTATGTTCTTGTTTTATTCTTATTGCAATAGAATATTAAATTCATACATGTAGGTCACAGTTGAAAACAAATTCATAATTGTTCTCTTTCTGAAAAATTAATAATAATCTTTACATCCTGGTTCTGTAAAAGAAACCTGTATGAGGCGCCGTTTTGGTATTTACTGCCAAAAAGTGATATCACCTATTCGAATAGGTGATATCACCTATTCAATTGGTGATATCACCTATTCGAATAAGTGATATCACCTATTCAGCTTCTGAATAGGTGATATCACCTATTCGAATAGGTGATATCACCTATTCGAATAAGTGATATCACCTATTCGAATAGGTGATATCACCTATTTGATTTGAATTGGTGATATCACCTATTTGAATAGGTGATATCACTTATTCGAATAGGTGATATCACCAATTCGAATAGGTGATATCACCCATTCAAATAGGTGATATCACTTATTCATTTTGAATAGGTGATATCACTTATTCGAATAGGTGATATCACCTATTCAAATCAAATAGGTGATATCACCTATTCGAATAGGTGATATCACTTATTCGAATAGGTGATATCACCTATTCAAATTATTTATGAAATAACAACAGCTCCCAAGACTATAGCCTTTAATTCTCATTTACTTTCACTTTCGTTTTATAACTTGCCATTCTTGCAGACAATGGATTACAGCTTCGCATTTAGTTTTAAGCACCCCAGTAGAATTTGTTGTTTTTTTTGCTCACAAATTATATTTATTACACTTATCTATCATGTATACTATAGGAAAATTCAAAGGGTCTGTAAGTCTCGTTGACTTTCACTTTCGTTTTATAACTCCCGGGTACCTGAGCGTTCTTGGAGACAATGGATTACTTAAGTTGTAAGCATCGCAGTGGAATTATTAAACTTGTAGTTTGTTTTGATCCCCGATTGTTGCAAAGAAGAGGAGAAAGTGGATTGATAGATGCAGGTAAATAGCGTTTAATTGCTTTATTTTTTCATTACATAACGTAAACACAAGCTATTCCGAGGGGGCCAAGATTAGCCAACATACTTAAGCAAAAAGGGAAAATTAAATCGTTTTTATGCTAAAATCGTCTGTATTCAAAAGGTACGCTTATCTACAGATTGGTTTCATAAATTTAAAGCATTGACTTAGCTTACAGTGGTATAGGACAGGTATACATGAGTTTGGGATATGAAATGCGATGTCATTGAAAGCAAATAAAAAAAAAACAGATGTACCCAAATGCATCGACCATGGGAATACAAAGTTGAATACCACGTCTATAACATATGATCTTTGTAGAAAACACATTCTTTTTTTTAAATTTAATTACTACAATAAATAAAAATGGTCAGCTCATTCTGTAGGCTATAAGCTACCCTGTCTATTCGGAAATAAAAATGGTCACACACACTCAAAAAATAATCATTTTTTATTCTACAAAGAAGAAGGCATTTTTTCATTTACACATACAAACTGTATTAACCGCCAAGATTCATGACCCCCCCCCCCCCCCCCTTTGCCAATACTCCTACAATTATGAGACAGACTTTTTTTCTTGAAATAGGCATTTTTCTCCATTTGTCATTATATATTACAGGGCTGCACAAGGTACTGAAAAAGGGACAGTGCTTTGAGTGAATGTGTTATCCAGTTATCCATGTATCTGCAAATGAAGCAGATCCCCCAGTTATACTCATGGAGAGTGTGACAACTTCCAACTTCCAAGTTGTTAATGACAGAACTCCATTTAAATCAGGTACAAGTTAAAGTTTAGGCTGCACAATTCTTTATTACAATATTCAAAACTTAATAATTCTGGATCAAGTTCACACAAGCTCACATTCCATGGTTACTTACAGCACCATTATGCTAGATAAATTTGTTATGATACACTTTCATGTTAAATAGTCAAATTTGATTGGTTTAAAAAACATTTGTTAACAAGTACTGTTACCATACTGTATGCCAAACATTACATCCCAATGGTTGAAAATGCATGACTACGGGTAACAGTATATACAGTAATAAAAAATGTTAACTGTGCAGAATGTTTGCACATTCGTTTCACCTTGATGTTTTCTTTAAAATGCATTTTATGACAAGAAAAATATTACCTGTTTATTTTGGGTGATGTAAAATTCTTACCCCTTAAAAACCATTGCTGACCGAGGCGAGGTCAGCAATGGTTTTTGTGGTATAACAATTTCACGTTATCCTACTAAACATGTAATATTTTATGTTATATGTACTTCTACATGTATTTGTAAATGTTAATGACTGTGAAAAACATAAATATTTATAAATTAGTAAAATCAATTTAATACACTATAAATACACAAAAGGACAAATTTGTACATAATTCTCTATGATTAGGTTAATTAGTTTATATAAAGGATGTAAATGGGCATGATATATCATTGTTAATATTCAAGAAAGTGTTAACTGTTTTTCTTGTAGATGCTCCTTTCCATCTGATGTTTTCCAGGTTTTTGTGAAAAGTTTTCTTAAAAATTGCACCATTCAACCACAAATACTATGCCAGTGGAACTGTGATATCAATCAACTGCTTATGACACTGTTAATTGGCAGAGAAATTATTTTTTTTTATTTGGGACAAGCAATCTGTTTCAAACATTTTATGCCTGCAAATTGGTACATGTACTTCATGAAATGCTTGAAGGATGCTAAAGGCTACTGAAATTCCAAGCCAGATGAAATTCAAAAGGATTGATACAAAAGTCATTTGAAGTTTTCTATTCTTAGTGATGAGTGTTTTTCAGGATGCCCTCTGATATCATAGCTACAACTGGTCACTGTCCTTTGTTAGTTACACATGCAGACATCTTATTAAGGCAGTGATATTAGTAGCTCGAAGTGAATGCTTTATTGTTTTCCTCAGATTTATAACCTGGATTGATCTCTGATACAGTAATTTAAAGCCATGTCTTTTCACTGTCACAAAGTACTGAAATAAAAATAATTTTGATGAAAATATTTTTTTTAATTCATATCATTAAATTTTTAAGTTACAGAAATTCAAATTAATTAGCTATTGGTAAAAAGAAATCTTTAATTGATGAGCAACCCTTTGCATTGTCAGATCCTTTTCTGAAAGGACCATTTACCTTTAACAATGTCAGGACAGGTGAGGCAACTGGCTGGTCTTCATGCTGGAAGTGTGTGTTAACTCTGTAATCTTTTTAAACAAAACCATCCAGTGATGTCCTAAGATTGCCAGATGAGCAGACATATACCTGTATTTAAGAAAGATTCTGTAACATGACATAGAATTTTTGCACAGCTTGACACACAACTGATGGTAACTTAGGTGCCTGCAAAATAATAAATCTGGCACATATTTATTTATTTGATACAAATCAGAACAAAATTTGTCCTTTTACAGAACAAATTATTTTCATTACAAAGAAAAGAGAAATGCATATGTACTGTGTTAATACATATAACCTGTATTATTGGATATTTTCACCCCATTCTAATTTTTAAAATATTCACTCTTTCTCCCTTGAAAACACTTTTGCCCATTTTAAATTTGATAAGACACATTTGTGTTTAAAAGATATATGCTGCCTTCTTCGAATTTGTCCCATTTTAAATTCACCTACTTGTAAGGAGGGCAGAATGAAGAAAAATAAAACTGGGGCGAAAAATTTCCAGAACAAAGTACCATTACTTGCCTGCCTGTTGTACTATAACTCCTCCAGCCTTACAATATTCTATAATCATTGCTTTCATGCAATACCCCCCACTGGATTGATGGTCTCTTTTCCAAATTATATGCACTTTCTAAAAAGAATGAATTTGTCGATTTATAAAATTTAGTATTACAAGTTAATAAAAACAGTAAAACAATGTTAACAACATTTATATGCAAATGAACCTCTGTATAAATCACTAATAAATGATTGACAACTAGTATAGAATATATCGAATACCCTTAATTTTGCATTTGGAAACTCAGCATTAAGGCCAAACAAAAAAACGTGTCGTTCCGGTTACACCTCCAAAAAAATAGGGTAGGTAGGGATTTTTTTTTTTTTTTTTTTTTTTTGTACAAAATGATTTTCTAAATTTTTCTAAATAATACCTATTTCTTTTCGTTAGCATAAGTGAACTATTTTATGTGTAGAGTGTTAGATATGTTTTCTCTTAAGCATATGGATTATAGATATGTGCTTTAATGTGTGAATAAAATGTCTTGGGTATTTAAACAGTTGTTTGCTGATTCTATTCATTCGAGTTCATACTCATCTAGAAAATACAATGTTTGAAGAAAATCAGCATGAACAAATTGAATTATTTAACTGTTATTTGGATATTATATTTTCTTTTTTTAGAATGTTAAGTGTTTACGAAGATGATATGTGCTATCCTTGTTTTTAAAGGATGATATTAATTTCAGAATTGTATATTATAAGTAAAATTAATGGATATCTTAAGCATTATACATTAAATCTGAAATATAGATCATGATTTCTCCATCAGAATCTGCTGTGGAAGTCTTTATACAGGTATATAAAATCTAAAATTGTACATTATAGAATGCGAAAAAACAGAAATATTTTGTGAAGAGCTGAGTATATAACTCATAACTAATAAATGTTTTGTTTATTTTGAATTCAGTCTTTTCCAACTATGGTTCAGAAAAGAAATGTTTTATTTGTGGATGAACAGAGTGAAGGAGAAAATAAGTGGCATTTCGATGTGGCATTAAATATACTAGTCAACATTGGCAGGGGGCACCCTAGTTATGAATATGAAACAAATATTTTTAAATCAAAAATAATGAAAACACAATCTTTTCTTTTTGTAAAAAATGAAGTCCAAGGTGAACATCCTTTTTTTAAAATCAGTGTTTATAAATGAAATTAATTAATTACTTTTATCCAGAATAGTTCTTATTTTACTTAATAATAAATTCTGAACTATAAACTAGAAAACGGACATGAGAGTTCTGCTAAGAGCTGTCAGAGGAAAAGAATGTGACACCTATACTTTGTACAGTAATGTTTAAAACAAAATAAATCACCTAAGCAAGATGAAATAGAATCATTCAAATTTGTCAGAATTACAAATATTTAATATTATTAAAATTTTAAATCCTTTCATGAAACCTTTTTGCCTCATTGAAGACTTCATACTTCCAAGCTCATTTCTCATATATATTGGTAACACCTTCCATTTTAACTTGATCAATTCCATTTGATCAAAAGCTCTGTATGGTTGTTAAGTACAAAAAAGACAACTGAAATCTATGCATACTTTAAACACTTTATTTTCCATTTCTTACCAAATGCTTATTAAAGAAACCATTATATATCTGGCATGTCTTAACAACTGTTTGTTAAGAACACGAAAAATAAGCTGAAGGAATTCTTAAGTAATTGCTTGTTAAATAAAATTAAGTAAAACTGTTACACTTTTATACAGAGTTTTAACAACTGTTTGTTAAGACTACCCAAAGAATTCCACAAGATGTATTCTTAACAACTGGTTGTTAGAAATGCAAAGGAAGACAAACAGAATAAAGTCTTAACAACTGCTTGTTAAGAATACCAAAAGAATTTCACAAGATATATTCTTAACAACTGGTTGTTAGAAATGGAAAGGAAGTCAAACGGAATAAAGTCTTAACAACTGCTTGTTAAGAATACCAAAAGAATTTCTCAAGATATATTCTTAACAACTGGTTGTTAGGAATGGAGAGGAAGTCAAACGGAATAAAGTCTTAACAACTGCTTGTTAAGAATACCAAAAGAATTTTACAAGGTATATTCTTAACAACTGGTTGTTAGGAATGGAGAGGAAGTCAAACGGAATAAAGTCTTAACAACTGCTTGTTAAGAATACCAAAAGATTTTCACAAGATATATTCTTAACAACTGGTTGTTAGAAATGGAAAGGAAGTCACACGGAATAAAGTCTTAACAACTGCTTGTAAAGAATACCAAAAGAATTTCACAAGATATATTCTTAACAACTGGTTGTTAGAAATGGAAAGGAAGTCAAACGGAATAAACTCTTAACAACTACTTGTTAAGGATGCTAGAAGTAGGTCCATGGAATCCTTTTAAAATTTGCTAGAAAACCGGGATAAAAATTGACAATTGACAATCAATTAAAATTATTAAGCAAATATAGCACATACAAGTTTAATGAAATATTCTTTTCTTAACAACTAGTTGTTAGAGGACCAAGGCTAGACAACTCAGGAAACATTGGGAAAAATGTCTTAACTTTTTAATAAAAAGATTAGGAGTATGTTCAAGATATTTTCTTAACAACTGCTTGTTAAGAAAGCTATGTTTCAATTAATGCAATTCTTTTAAAACCCTAATAATTGGTTGTTAAGAATATCGTAGATTTCTGAATAAGTCTAAACCCTAACAACTGCTTGTTAAGAAAATCTTAAATAGCTTCAAGAAAGTCTTAACCTTAACAATTGCTTGTTAAGAATATCTTAGATAGCTTCCTGAAAATGTCTTAGCAACTAGTTGTTAGAATAACAAGGGAAGTTAATTCAGAAAACTTTAAAGGAAAACAACTTTTTAACAACAATTTGATAAGAAATTCATTATTAAATGTATATGTTTATAACATGTGATAACAGTTGCTTGCTAAGAAAATAAGTCTGAAAAAAGATTTATTTGCAAGTCTTAAACGCTGATTGCTTAAAATATAATATAAAAAGTAAATATTTTTAACAAGAGGTTGTTAGAGAGCTAAGGGAAGACAATTCAGATAAATTTAAAGAAATTTTGGCAATTTTCTGTGTGTCTTTTTAGTTAAGTATTAATAAATTCATATTAATATTAGACATGATAAATTGTTCATCGAGTTTTCCTAAAAAAGTCTTGCAGTAGGTTTACTTGTTCTTCTCTATTACTCCCAAGTATTCAACAACTGCCACAGTGTAATATTCTATTCCTCTTCTGTAATACCCTGTAAAAAATATACATCATTTGAGTGGTAAAATTCATATTCTTTGATATTTTTTCTATCTAATATATTGTCAAATAAACCATTAATTGAATTTTTACATTCACCAAACAAATTTATTACATTTGTGCATAATGCTGGACAGATTTAGGCAGAGAAGTGTGATGGGGGTAAACATGGAATTTGACCTCAGATACTTAAAAAAAAGGTAAGAACTATGAATAATAAACTGCATTTGGTATCTTTATTTTTTTCTAAAAATGTTGCAAAATGAGCCAGTACTTCCTAATGGAAACATATCCAATAAATGAGGTTAGGACAAGTCCCAGAGATGAGTAAACCAAGACCCTGCAGGAGATCCCCCCCCCCCTTAAATATTTCTCATAGACGTTAAGCAGCCATAATTGCCATCAGATTTGTTCCCTTTTCCAGACTTTGTGTATTGCAAAAAGTCTTTATCTAAGCAATTAATACCATTGTCATTTGCTGGACAATATTAAAAAAATTCACACTGTACAATTTCAAATTAGTTTTCATTACTTTATACCGGATTTCTTTTGAAAGAGGCTAGACAACAAGATAATTTTATCCAAGACTGAGCAATTAAATTCCTTTGCTTAATTCCCAAGAGATCTAGATAACATCTGCCTGATCAGAAATGCTCTACCGGTTAATTCCTCACAGGAAACTCATTAATTTATCTCTAATTCAACATCTAATTTGTTATTAAAATTCTTCTCGACTACTGCTTGATAATTACACCAATGTGGAATTTCTCTCTTGTTTTTGACACAAACAAAACGTTATTATATTTGTTAAAAATTGTTGTAAAGTTAGCAATGAGAAAAAACTGTATTTTCTTGATGAAACATTTTTTAAATATCTGCAATATTCTTACATCTTTTGGGACTATATAATTTAAAATGTAAAGACATACATATATATATATATATTTAAATTTTGCCTTAAATGAAGGTCAAAGTGCCCTTTAAATAGGATGCGACA